TCCTCTAGGTGGGAGGAGCCATAGGCTGCGCGCGCAGCTTTCATTGTGACTTCCCCAACTACCCTGGTTCCTGGAAGCTTAGCCACGCCCCCTTCCCATTTCATCTTTTTAATTGCCCAATGGGCTGGGAGCCTTTACGCCACACCCACGTTCTAGGTGCCTATTATCTCCCTGGTGCCTGCCTTCCCTGGCTCAGTCACAAAACTGAGCGGTGGACGCCGGAAGCAATTGCGCAGTGGTTGCCGGGATTAGTGATGTGGCCCCCTCTTACCCCGCCCCCTGTCGCTATGTCGGAAGAAACCCGACAGAGCAAATTGGCCGCGGCCAAGAAAAAGGTAAAACGCTCCTGATCGCGGCTCCCTGACCCAGCCCGAGACCCCACCGACGAGCAGACCATGGCCAATAGTCTGTACCGCCCTTGAGACACACGGGGCGAGCCCTTTGGCGTCCCTTAGTGCCCCCCTCCAGTCCTCACAGCCAGTCCCGCCCCCTCGGCTGCCCGGAGCCCGCCCTCGCCCGTCCCTCCTGGGTGACTTTGGGCAGGTGACCCCCGGGGGCCTCCCCTACGGAGGCAGCTCTCCCTTCTTGCCACCCTGAACCGGGGTCTTTGGGCTCCCGGTCTCCTGGGACCTCGGTCCTGCTCCTTCGTTCCCCCTCCCCCCCACCGCGGAGCGGCGACTCGGGCGTTGGTAAGAAGTGGCATGTAGTTACGTCACAGTCCCCCTCGGAACTGTCATTACTGCCGCGAGACCGGCCTTTGATGTTCCGACTGAGTCCCCTAGTATCTTCACCCCTTTCTGGTTTCTTTGGTCGCGGGGCAAATTTCTAGTTTGAAGGGGATACGGCACTATGGGACTTAGGGCAAAGAGGTTTCAGGCACCCTTACTGTGGGCTGTACTGCATCCTTAGGCATTGGCAGTGTGAAAAACTTAGCACTTCACCAAAGATCTTGAAATGTTTACAACATTGCTGCGTGATAGTGGGGAGGAGTGTTTGGCTTGGTTTTATCCCAGGTTTCTACTCTCCAGAGAGACTTTAAAAAAAAAAAAAATTTTTCCCTCTATTCTCTACCTTACGTTCTGATTGCCTAAGATTCTGGAAACAGAATCCCCCTCAGTCAGTGCTCTTTGGAGTAAGGTTTCCTTATTGTCCGTAGAACAGATCCTGGGAAACTAAACTTCATAGATGGGAATCATCTCAACTGCTCTGAGGGGTGCTTGGGGTGTGAAAAGCCACATAATAAATATGAGACATCTTTCTGAAGTATCAGTTTTGATTCTCTGGAGAGAAAGGAAAACCATTTTATATTAATGTGTACTTAGGGGTGAGGAGCTCTGGTGGCACAGTGGTCAAGGGATTCAGCTGCCAACCAGAAGGTCAGTGGTTCAAACCCATCAGCAGCTCCATGGGAGAAAGATGAGGCAGTCTGCTTCCATGAAAATTTACAGCCTTGGAAGCCCTATGGAACAGTTCTACTCTGTTCTATAGGGTCACTATGATTTGGGAAGGACTCGATGGCAGTTTAGTGGTGGATTTGCATGCATTTGTAAGATGAGAATAGAATCCTCCCTGAAATAGGCTTGAGTTGTTCTCTTTCTGTTATGCTCCCAGATTCGCTTGGGGTGTGTCTTCACTGCCTTCTGCCATGAGCTATATTGATGTACAGATCTCATAGATATGTAAAAAAGGACCCTGATATCTGTTTCCTAAAGCATACAATATACTGCTCTTGCCCATTTAATGTTTACTTTTCCAACTGTACCTCTGGTTTTGTTCTCTGGAAGCCGAAGCTACTAATCATAGCAGAACCTCAGAGCTTGGAGTCAGAATACCGAGTTTAAATTTCATGAATACCCTTTTTTTTTAGCCATGTTATCCATTCCCTGGAGAAGGATGTCATGCTTGGTAGGGTGGAGGGTTGACGAAAGAGGGGGAGGCCTTCAAGGAGATGGATTGATACGGTGGCTGCGATGATGGGCTCAAGTATAGCAGGGATTGTGGGGCTGGCGCGGGATCGGGCAGTGTTTCGTTCTGCTGTGCATGGGGTCGCTATGAGTCGGAAATGACTCGACGGCACTTAACAACAACAACATCAGTCACTTGGCCTTTGGAATCCATTTCTTCAGTCATCAAATGAAAAGTACAGCACCTTATAGCATTGTTGGTGATGTTAAATCAGATGGCTTATAAAGAATACTTAGTGAACTGTAAAGTATGATATAAGTACAAGGGTTTATAGTTCTCATGAGCATCACTTTTTTCTTTTTTTCCTTTCCACAGTTGAGAGAATTCCAGCAAAGGAACAGCACTGGTGTTCCTGCAGGAGTGAAGAAGAAAAGAAAAATAAAAAATGGCAGTAGTCCCAAGACAACTTCTGGTGGTTGTAGCCCGCCTGAGGATGTGAGTCTTGGTTGACCTGGTTCCTGGGTATAGGAGTGCTGAAGTAGAGAGTGGTGGTTAAGATTGTGGAAGGGAAAGCTACTAGTTAAAAACTCTGGCTCTGAATCCTACTCCTTCCTCTGCTACGAGTATGATTTGGGGAAAGTTGTTAAAACTCCTTGGGCCTGTGTTTTCATGTCTGTAAAATAAGGGTACTGTTGCATTATTTATACCTGTGAAACGTTGTTGTTGTTGTTTTCATGTAAATCCCTTAGTATAGAGCCTCGTACAGGGTAAACATACAATAAATGGTGGTTGCTATTTGACTTACTGCTTATTTTCCTCACCCTCAGCCTCCAGGGGAAGCCAAGCCAATGAGAACAGCCACTTGCCATCATTCTATCTTATTAGAAAATGACAGAAGAGCGCCAGCTTATGGTGAAGAGAGCCCTAGGCATTAAGATTGAGAGATCTGGGTTCTGAGTTGTCTTTGCCACTAGCTTGGTTGTGACCTGAGGAAAATTGCTTCTTCCCCTGGACCTCAGCTTTCTCATCTGTAATAAGATGATATTGTTGGACTAGATCAGTATCTTTCAAACTTATTTTTCCCCTGCAGTCCCCTTTGTTCAACTGAACCCTTACTTGATAGTCTGGTTTTTAAAGCAGAGATGGGGGGCTCTGCATCCTGGCCCCAAGGAGAGGAACAAATGAGCAAATTAAGAGCTCCACTGGTTAGGTGATTCTAAAACCTCTTTCCAACCTACTATTCTATGTGACCACATTATTTGGTGGACTTTCCTGTTTGTTAATACTGATTCTGCCTCTGGCAAGTCAGCGAGTGGCTGTTTAGAAAGATGGCCCAGGTCATGGTGTAGATGCCTTCCTGGACTGTCTTCAGCATCCCATTTACCTGAACCCACCTCTTCTTCCTCCTCTGACTTTCTTGCCTCTTTCTAAGCCAGCTCTCTTTCTTCCCCTTGCCCTTGTTTTTCCCTTTTTGCCTTCTTTAGATTCAGGACATTCTGAAGGTGCTGGTGTCCGACCTTAACCGCTCCAATGGGGTAGCGCTATCCCCATTGGACAAGTGGAAGGTGAGGCAGTGCCAAGGCCGGCTCTCTGGCTTGCTCTCTCTCCCAGCTGTGCATGCCCCCGAGCTTTTCTGATTTGGGGTTGCTTTGCCTCTGGCTTCTTTTATGTTGCTCTCATTAACCCTGGCCTGTCTCCTTTCTCACCTGCTTGGTTGATTGGATTTTTTCCTTTCCCACATCTTTTGTCATCTTGGAGAAGCTGAAATGCATCGTGAAGGTTCAAGGTAATTTGGGAATGACTTCCAGAGCAGATATGTGGGATTTGGGCTTTTCAAACCTCAACTTAGAGTACCCAGTGGTGCTGTCGGACTAGAGAGGAAAACAAAGCAAGGAGCTTTTGATCTTACCCTCCAGTATCCACCTCTGAAAGAGACTGGTAGAGCACATAGAGATTTGCAGTTTTTAGGACTGCTTCATTCTTTTTGGTCTGAGAATAGGGAACATAGGATTGAAAGAAAATGAATTTGCCTTATAGCTGCAAGGATTGAGGTTATTTTTTTTTTTCAGAGAAAATAACTATAAAGGCTATGAGGTTAACCAAACAGATGAGGGACCAAGACATTCTGCCTCTGATCACTTTTAAAACTCAACTAGACATTTGTCCATGTTCATTGATAGGAAAGGTACTTTGCTAGACACTAGAGAAAGTAAAACACTGAGGGAGGCCAGCTCCTCCGAAGGAAGCAAGGTGGAACATGGCAGCATTCTGAATGCTCAGCTGAGGGTCCTGAATGGACTTGCAGCCGTTTGTAAAAGGGCACCATGTTGAGACAGGGAGAGACGGGAATTCCAGGCAGAGGGAGTGAGCCGACGGCATGCAGGATCAGGAGCTTACAGATCACCATCCAGGAAGGCAGGCAGCTGACATGGCAGGTATTGGGAGTGCATAGGACTAGGCGATAACCTTTTCCAGATACGTTGGTACTTTCTTTTTGACTGACTTGCTCAGGAGACATCTGCCAAGCCAGACTAGTTGGGCTGAAATGGGGCCAGATTCTGTTGGAGATACAGGCATGGGGAAGGGACTGTTGGCCAGTATTAGAAAGATTTTTTAAATCACTAGGACTGTTCACACCCAATTGGTCAGGTCTGTCAAAGTGCTGTGACTTAACCTTGTCAACTCAGAGGAGAGGTGGCATGGCGTGGTGATGTGGGCACAGGCCTAGCGGAGTCATAAAACTATGCTTTGCTTTTGCTCTGTCAGTGATCCAGTTGTTAGTGGGTCTGTGGTCTCTGTTTCCCCCTCAGAAAAAATATTAGTCTGCTCTAATGTTCTAAGATTCCGTGCCAGGTTCTTCTGTTCTTTGGAAATGAAGACCTCTACATCTTGTTTTTGTTATTTTTAAACCCTCTCTACATCAATAACTGTTTCCTGGTGAAGTTTTCTGCTCCAGTAGTGCAGACCTATGATCGGGGCATCCTCAGTAGAGTTGATATTTCCAGAAATGGGGGAATAATGGAGAGAGAGAGAAGAAAAATTTAATGGGATGCAAAATTTTGAAGGAGAATGAACTTAGTCATAAGACTTAAAGTCATCAAACAAACTTGGTTGCTCACAAAATAATTACTTTAAGTTATTTAAAAATTATAAGGTACAGGGAAAAACTTGAAAAGGTTAGAGGAGAATTGATTTTATTGCTAAAAGTCCTAAGAAAATAGTTTCCCTCCTCTGAACTTGCCTGTGTCTAATCCTGGAGGTCAGTGGGAACCCCACATGTCAGGAGGGACCCACATTCTGCCAGAGTCCCCCAGAGTTTTATGCCTCACCAGCTGCTGAATTCCTATTGTTATTAGCAGTTAGATTCAGCTCTAGAAGTTGGCCTGGCAACATCAGGTTCCAGGGTCAAAAGTCACAGCACAGACAGCTTAGCTCATCCTCAGTCCCCCAGGCTCTGCAGCACTCACTCTGAGGAAGGAAGTAGGATTGGGTTTTCAGAAGCCAGAGCTAGTAGGGTCCAGAAAACAGGCAGCCCTTTCCCCTGAGAGGAGTGTGGCCTCTTCCTCCCCAGACCCAGCTTCCTTAACCAGGCAGGCTCTGGCTCCTTAATACTCTTCTCTTGTCATGTTTCAGCTTGTCAGCCCTCTTTCGCATTTTCTTTGTCCACCTGGCCTATTGGATATTAGACGACCTCTGGGGCCAGAGGCTTGGACTACATTTTAGGCTTGAGCTTGGAGAGAGACTAGGGTGAGGTTTTGGTCAAGCAAGTGGGTCCAGGTGGAGAAGAGGAAGAGGAAGAGGCTTCTACAAGCTCCTAGTCCTCCATCTTTGGATGGTTCTTCTCTTGCTGCTATTCACATACCCCCTACACACAGCCTCCGGCATGCCAAGAGTCAAAGGATAGACATTTTACCTCTGGTTTCTAAGGATGTTTCTGAGTTTGGATAGATGTTTCTGAGTTTGGATAGATGTTTCTGGAGCTAGGAGGTTGGAGTGGGAATAGTGGCCATGAGCTGGCTGTGGTTTATTTTCTTTTCAGCTCCAGAGAGCAGGGAGAAACTTTTAGTTGGGCAGCTTCTTTCCAGGGAAAACAAGGTCCCCAAGTGCTCATGAAGGAGTTTTGCAGCCGCTGCCACTGCTTTGAGCTGTGGCTGTCCAAGATGCTGTAGAGTGGCCTGGGCCAGCCAAATCCACACCCCCCAGCAGCTCCCGGCACGTATGACACGTCACTGACTGCAGCCTATCCTACCTGCTGTGCAACCCTGTGTCCATGGCATTGCAGTGCCTTCTGCCCTGCATGGCCTCCTAACCCCCTGCTCTGTTCTGTGACAGGCGCCCAAAGATCGCACTGCTCCTGCACTGGAACCTGCTGATGATACCATCTTACCTGGCAGTGTCCATCCTGCCAGTGCTGGTTCACTTAACTCTACTAATATGACATCGCTTCAGGTTTGTGCCTCTTCCCTCTTTGCCTGCTGTCCCACTGCATGTTTGCCCCTTGTCCTCCTGCCCAAAGGACTAGACCTACCTGGGATTCTCTACTTTTCAGGTAGCTTGATTCCTAGAGCCAAGTACTCTTCCTGAGGCCTGGGGTTGGAGAGGCTAAGATGGGCTTTTCCTTGAGATCTGGGGAGGTGGAAGGTTGTTTGGAAGGAGCTTGGCTCACCCTGACTCTGGTTCTCACTTGAAATTGAATGGTCACCTCATGTGTTTCTTCCCAAATAGAACCATGATGCAAACAACGGCACTATCTCCATGGATGAAAATGAGTGAGTGTCTCCTATCGGGGCAGCGCTTCCTAGGCTGAGGGAGTTGGAGCATGCCACTGCCCGTGACCCTCTCTTCCCCATTGAGCCGCTATAACCCCTGACCCCCTATGCCTTTATCTCTAGGTCTCTGTCATCTACTGAGAGTCTGCGACAGATTTCACAACAACTCAATGGGCTCATATCTGAGGTACCCCAGAAATTGGAAGCCAGGAGTAGAGCATGGGAAAGGAAAGCATAATAGAAAGTGAGGCTAGGATTCACAAGAGAGAGGGCAGTATAGTATGAGACCTCCTGACCTGCAGGGTCTTGTTTGGCAAGGCACTGCTTCTCTGAGTCTCCTCTTTTGAAGCTGTAGAAGTAGGTGTTGGACACAAGAGTGGTTGCGTCATTTTATCCCGCTGCAGAAAGTACAGGATTGAGAGCTGCTTGGGAGGGAAGGAAGGATGAGAGATAAAAGCCAGGAGACGTTGGCATAAGGGGTTGTAAGAAGAGGGGGCCAAGTTGGGGCAAAAAGAACATTTTGCCAGTTGTTAGGGAAGAAAGGATGTTGGAGGGCTTAGACGTTGATGGGGACAGATGCATCTCCATGTGAGCTCCTTCTTTTCTAGTCTGCATCCTATGTCAATGGAGAGGGCCTAGCATCTTCTGTTAACATAAAGGATCTGGAGGTAAGTGGCTCTGTGGACCCTGCTGGTCAGCCCTCCTCCCGCCTCCTCCCACAATGGGGGCTGGGTGCCCCCTGCCAGCTGAGACAGCCCAGATGCCCCCCTCAACCCTAATGATTGCTCTCTCTACCTCTCCCCTCAACCCTCCTCCAATTCCTCCTCCTCTCTGCATGCGCCTCAGAACCGGTACCAAGAACTATCAATTGCCCTGGAAGCGAGTACTGTAACAAACAAACAACTCAGTAGCAAGATAGAGGAATTGGTAAGAGTCCAGTGGGGTCCCCTGATTCCATGCTGCCAATCCTGGGCTCCAGTTTATCTTTGGGGCTCTGAGGAAAGGGGATGGGGGCCCCTTGTACCAAGGGTGAACTGGGGTGCTGGGGGGCCTAGGTCTCAGCTGGAGGGACCCCAGAGCACTGAGCATGCAGCATGGCTCTTTCCTTTGCTTCTCTCTTTTCCCACTCGCTCTTCTCTGGGCACCTGCACTTGAGTCCTCCCCACACTTGTCCCGGGGCTGTTGCCTCCCAGTGGAAGCACTGGCCTAACATTGTAGTCCTGACCCGGCCCCTGGTCTGCTCTGTGTTTGACCTTAGACAAGTCACTGCTCCTCCCTGGGGTTGTTTCCTGAGCAGGTAGAATTAGGTGGTGTCTAAGTCTCTTCTAACTAAAAGTGGAAGATTTAAAGGTCCACTTGAATGGAAACATCAGAGGGTAAGGATCTTGGGATCCTTTTCATCCCTCTGTCCCTGCTGGAAGGAAGAGGACCTGGTCTGCAGAATGAGCTCAGTGAATACTTGTTGACCGAATTGACCCTTCCAAATCACAAGCTAATAGAAGATTAGCCTTTCCCTTCTCAGACTCCATTTCTAGAGGTTTATGTTATTGTCCTTTGAAAGGAATCCAGATTCAGAGAGAAAGCCAGGGAAGACCCGAGATCTCTTTCCTTGGCATCTTGAGAAAAGTTTGTTAATTCAAGTCCCCGTAGAATATGGGAACTTTTCCTTTAAGACCTATTTCTGGTCCCTAGCTCCCTTCTCTGTGGTCTGGGGACCGTAGTAAAGGAAGACTACCTCAGTCACCTTGCTTTTGCTCTCCCCACAGAATCAGCAAAACCAGGATATCACGGACCAACGAGAAAACGTAATGCGATTTCTTTGTTTGCTCCTTACACTGCTCATGGGTTTGGGGGAGGACTTGGACATAGAGGCCACAGACTGTTTGCCCCCTCCCAGGCTAAGAAATAAAGGGCTCACTGCTTCTGCCACCACCCCTGCCCCTGGTCCCCAATAATGTGGCTCCTTGTTGGGCCTGTTCTGGGCCATTGGTGACATTCTGGGGACATGTCCTTTGCTGTTCTATTTTTGCCTCCTCCCAGTAAGAGATGTTTTTGCCCCTCAACCTACAGGATAAAAAAGAATTTGAGCAAAAGTTTGCAAAGGAGCAAGGGGCTCTCCGGCAACAATTACAGGTGAGTGGACTCTATGATATTGCCTCGTGTCCTCTAGAAAACATTTCTTTTCCTCTTTTTTATCGTTTGTTTGGCTTTTCTCGCAAAGATTCACATCCAGACTATCGGTATCTTGGTTTCTGAGAAGTCGGACCTACAGACAGCTTTGACCCATACTCAGCATGCAGTGAGACAGAAAGAAGGTGGGCGTCTGGGGTTATACCCCTTCATCCTTCCACCTGCCACACTATCGGCCTTTCAGTGGCATTCCTTCTTTGGGCTCCCGTCTCCGTTCCTTTCTCATTCCAGGAGAACTAGAGGAGGTTGCCAGTCGCCTGAAGGCTTCCCGACAGCGCATCGGAGAGCTGGAGAGAACTCTGTCTTCAGTCTCCAGACAGCAAAAGCAGGCTGAAAAGGTGAGCTTTACCACACAGCCATCTCATTGCAGCCCAGCTTCTCAGTGAGCCTAAAGGTTTCTTCTGCATGATGGGGTATCTTGCTGCCCAGAAAGCAGTCCAGGATATTTTCGCTGCTTTAATTGTGTGGCTGTTGGGACCGGCCTTGGAATGAGTGGGCTGCTGTGGGTGCCTTTGAGAGGTGCTGTCACTGAACAAGCACTGATTCCAGACTTTGAGTCACAGCCCTGATATTAAGTGTTGTGAGCCTTGGACAGGTGTCCAGGAGAAGAGAGATGGTGCTTGGGCTGTGAAGGTGCAGAACAGTATCTTTAGTATATTATGTTTGTGTAGAAAGAAGAGGAAGTGTGTGTGTAATATGCACAAAATATGCGTCTGAAAAGAATTATAAAAATCCTAGGGGAGAGGAATGGGCTGGCTGGGAGACATTTCACTTCTCTACTTTCTGAGTTTTGGACCAGGTGAATGTATAATTTATTTCAAAAAGGAAAAGGTTAAAATACAAAATGTAAATTTAATTCCCCCACTCACATCTGCCCCCTACCCCCCAACTCCAGGAAAAAAAAAATGTAGTTACAGAGTCGGACAGACCTGGATGTTCAAATCCCAGTCTGCCTGTGTGATCTTAACCACTAATACGTAGTTTCTTTTGTTTGTAAAGTGGAAATGATAAGTAAGTGCCTCATCTGTTGGTTCTGAGGATTAAATGGAATTATGTGGATAAGATGTTAGCATGGCACCTGGTAAAGCATTCCATAAATGTTGGCTGTTCATTCAGTGATAACGATAATAATAACAACAGCAGTATTATTTCATCTCTCTGTTAACTAGCTGGAAGTTAAATCTCTTTAGGTAAATACATCCTTATTATTATGAGTACTTATTAAAAATAAATGATGACATGGGCTTGGAAATGCTTTGAAAAAAATGCAAAGTGGCATTCAGGAAGTGTTACAGTTACGGTTGCTGTTGTTATTAGCATGAGAGCTACATCTTCTGCCTACCAAATCTTGACTTAACCTTTCTGTACATGCAGCACAACAAGGAATTAACCCAAGATCGAGATTCTCTCAGGCTGCAGCTATTCAAGCAAAGGTAGGATGGGGGAGGTAGGATGGCAGGTGTGGAGGGCCTTAGCCCAAGTGGTGTGGTGGGAAGGGATCCAGGGGAGCACAGTAAGGAGGTCATCCAGGCTTGGTGCTGTGCAGAGCCAGGCTCTGGTCCCACTGTGCTATGACTTGTGCTGTGGCCTCAGATAACTCACAGCCTCTCTGGGTTCCTACTTGTGACTCTTGATTTCCAGGGTCCCTTCCAATGCTGCTGTTCTATGGCAAGGGTAGGTGGGTTGATCACCACAATGATCCTTTCTGTTCTTTACTGATGACTTCCTCCACTTTAACTGGCCATAGCAACAGCAATGAGGATTTAACACAGCAGAACTCCGAGTTGGCGGAGCAGGTTCGAATCTTAGCGAAACAAAAGACGGCCATGCAGCATGAAGTGGAGGAACTGCAAAAGAAGTTAGAAATGTCAGAGCTCTTACTGCAACAGGTGAGGGCTGGGAGCTCCGGAGAGTCTGGCCTCATCCACCTGGGCCAGGGCTTCCTAGAGACCATCCTGACCTCTAGCCAGATGCTGGGGGGGATCCTTGTTCTGGTCCTGCCATAGAATCTCCTCCAGAAAGTGACTGGATCCCTGCCCACAACTGCAGAATCAGAATCTCAGGGGTAGGACTTTTTCAATTTCAAGCATCCAGCTTGAAAAAAACCATTGTTATACAGATGACATCTTTAAGGCTGGCCTGTGAGTCTGTTTACTTTTTCGCAGAGGCCCAGCCAACACTTTGGCTAAGTAGCCACCAGGTAGTCAGGGTGCCTGGCTCAGAGAGCCCCCTTATTCTTGAGTTTTGCTTCACACTGAGCAATGTTACACCTTCATGTAGCTTTCCCTGCTGGGCCTCCCAGACCTCACCTAATTTTCTCCATCCAGTTCTCTAGCACTGAAAGCAACCAGGTGTTACAGCAGGCCCAGGCACAGCAGGCCAAGATGGAGAGACATGTGGAAGAGGTAAGGTGCTTCACAGGGGACTGTGTGGGAGGAGGATGACCCTAGGTGACCCCAGGTGGCTAGGAGCAGTTGAGGACCAGTGACAGCCCTTCCTAACTGTGCCCATTCTCGTAGCTCACGGAGACGGTTAAGCAACTGCAGGTGGAGAGAGACCGATATGTAGAGACTCTGAAAACAGAACACACCATTTGGCAGCAGCAGATGCAGCAGTTGTCGGAGCAGGTACGTCGGACGCTCTGTCTCCCAAACCCTTCAGGAGGTTACTCGATTTTTCTGGGCTTCTTTTTATTTAACTGTCAGATGAAAACTGTATCACTGCCTCTGGTGTGCAGCCAAAGGTGCTTGAGTATATGTTTGCATTTCTCTTGTTTATTCCTTTTTATTTAAATTGTGATTTGGGTGAAAGTTTACAGAGCAAATTCATCTTCCATTCAACAGTTCATCCACATTTTGTTTCATAACATTGCTTGCAATCCCAGTAATGTAACAGCTCTCTTTAGACTTCATTTTTCAGAGTAGTTTTAGGTTTACAAAAAAAATTGGGCAGGAAGTACAGAGTTCCCATATACCCCCTCTCCCTCATGCACACACTTTCTCCTGTTACTGACACGTTGCATTCCTGGGGTACATTTGTTACAACTGATGAACCAATATTGATAAGTTATTATTAACAACAGAAGTCCAGAGTTTATGTTGGGGCTCACAGTTTTCATTGTACAGTGCTTTGGGTCTGACAGATGTGGTTTTGTCTTTTAGAGGTGGAGGTAGAGAGTGAGATGGTAGCTAGCATCGTGGTTCTCTTTCCACCTGCCTCCCTTCATGTGTTCCTTCTCTCTGTGCTTGGGCAGGTGCAGACATTGGGCAAAGAGAAGGAACATGGCATGGTTCGGGTACAGGAGCTGGAGGCCAGTTTGGCTGAATTCAAGAACCAGACAGGTAGGCTGGAGCTGGAGACTGTAGGAGCAGGATTGGTGTCGGGGGCTGGGGTGGCTTAGAATGCCCCAGGGAGGTGAGTGGACAAATGGGGCACTGGGGTAAAGGGGAAAGAGGGCTGGATCAGGAGTTGGCACTGACTTGCCATGTGTCCTTGGGAAAGTCTTATAATATTTCTGAACTTCAGTCCCCATCTGCAAAAAAAATGGAATGGAGTACCCACTGTCAAGCACCTAGAGTTGTCTGGAGTATAAAAATAATAAAGAACTATATTGGAAAGTGGCTTGAAAGATTGAACATCATACAGATGTGCAGTTATTAGCCAGGAGCCGGGACTTAGGGTGAGGAGCACGGATGAGGAGATGTGAACCAAGAAGAGGGCTTTCTGAGACTAGAGAGGCAGAAAGCTCTTATGGTATGCTTCTTTCACAGCTGTCCCCCCATCTGAGGAGCCCCCTGCAGGGCCCTCGAAGGAGGAACTGCGGCTGCAAGCCGACAATGAACAACTGCAAAAGGAGCTGGAGAAGCTAACAGGGCAGCTGCAGTTTCAAGTGAAAGATAACGTGACCCTGAATGACGAGATTCAGGAGCGGGAGCAGCGGCTGCGGGAGCTCGAGCGGATAGCTGAGTGCTGGAATGAGCAGGAAGCGGCTCGCCAGAAGATTCTGGAGACTATGCAGAGTGACCGCATCACCATCAGCCGTGCTCTCTCCCAGAACCGGGACCTCAAGGAGCAACTGGCCGAGCTTCAGGATAGCTTCGTCAGGCTGGTGCGCAGCCCTGCCTGCCTAGCCTGCCTTCCTCACTCCTCACTTGCCAAGTCCCTTGGTGCAGGGCAAGACACTTAACCCTCTGGGCCTTTGTTTCCCCATCAGTAAAATGGGGTGTATAGACCTCATGTGAAATGGTGCCTATGACAGCACACTGTGAACCAGAGAGCCCTGCTCAGCTGATGTGGGATGAGGGGGGACGGTTTTCCAACCTGCCTCTCTACCCGCAGCTGTGGGAGGTGAGGTGGACACCAGTTTTGGGGGCTCCAGCTGCACTGGGTGGCTGCTGATTACTTCTCTCTGTCCAGACCAATGAGAATATGGAGTTGACTAACGCCCTTCAATCGGAGCAGCATATCAAGAAGGAGCTGGCCAAGAAGCTGGGCCAGCTACAGGAGAAGCTGGGGGAGCTGAAGGAGACGGTAACCCCCGCCCCATCTGACAAGGGCTAGGAGATAGGCACCAGCTTCTGGGGAGGGGAGAGGCTTGGTTTGGGGCTGGAGCTGGGTGTCAGGGCCAGGACTGAGAGCCAGCTCCCATGGGGAGGAGGGCTGTGGGACAAGTGACCACAGAGCCCTACAGAGCCCATGACTGTTTTCCCTGCCTTCTGACTTTTAGAGGTGGGAAGCCCCAGGCCATAGATCATCATCCCAGTTAGAAACATCGAGTCCCTGATCGCAGGGAAAGAGATGGGGGCATGACAGGAGCTCCTTGCATTCAGACCCGGACTCTAATCTCGACTCCAGTGGTCACTATTCACTTTACATCTCTCAGCCTAAATTTCCTTGGCTTTAAAGGGTGATTAGCATTTTCTTCACAGAGCTCATTCCGTTGAGACTTAAATGAGATCTAATGCATGTAAAGTATTAGATTAGGCACATACTATTAACAGACATTGGTTGGTTCTCTCTGCTTGTCCACTAGTCTGTGGCTTAAAGTTAAAATGGTGAGAAAGAATGTTGTGAGATGTGAGGCTAGGTGAAGGCATGGGGCTCTGGGCAAGGGAGACAGTCACTTAGGCCACAGAATGAGGAAGCCAGATGCCTGGGCAAGTGGCAGAGCTCCACAATGCCTCTCTTAAGGGCCTGTACTACCCTACCCTCTGTGGGCTCAGAATCTGGGAGCAAGCTACCACCTGCTCTTATTCCTAAGGTCTTCCCACAGGTAGAAACGAAAACTCAGGAGGCTCAGAGTCTGCAGGAGCAGCGAGACCAGTACCTGAGCCATTTGCAGCAGTACGTGGCCACCTATCAGCAGCATGTAGTATTATATCAACATCTGGCCTCTGAGAAGGAGGAGCTGCATAAGCAGTTACTGCTCCAGACCGAGCACATGCAACAGCTGCAGCACGAGGAAGCACAGAGAAAGGCGGCAACTGAGATGGTCCACCAAGAGTTGCAGCAGACCCAGGTAAGAGGGTTGCTGAGTGCCAAGGCCCTGAGTGTGAAGACCTGGCGACTTGTGCCCCTTCTCACTCTCTTTCCTGGCCCCTTAGGAGCACCTGGAAGCTTCCAGCCAGCAAAACCAGCAGCTGCAGGCCCAGTTGAGCCACATGGCTCTGCCTGAGGAAGGTAAGTAAGACTGCCCAGAAGGAGAAGAGAGAGGCTGAGGAGGGAGAGGAGGATTGTAGAATTGAGCTAGAAGAGGCCATTAGGACAGCTCATCATTTTCCTCTGGGGAATGGCTGGCCCAGGGTTGCGCCGTCAGGCAGTGTCAGCGGTGGGCCCTGAGAAAGTTCCAGACGCACTCCACCTCCTTTGTTGGTGGTCTGAAGTATCCCTCTGGCTGCACTCAACAGGAGACGGGCTGAATGAGGAGGCTCCGCAGCTAGAGCTGAGCATCCCTGAAGACGTGGAAGGCCGAGACACGCTGGTGAGCCTGACTCTTCCCTGCCCCCTCTCTTCCCGCCTTCCCCATGATTCTCCTGACACTCTTGCTTTCTCTACCCTCTGATTTCTCTTGATCCGTAAACCTCCCCTGGGACCTAGTGGGTCAGACACTACTCCATCCATTGAACAACATGTGAGCCACAGAGGTCCAGAGAGGGAAGGCATTCCTCCTGCCTCCCTGCCCGGTTTTCTTCCTGAGTACTCACCACAAAAGCACACGCACACCCCTTGCCTGCAGGTGGCCTTCTTCAACTCAGCCCTAGCCAGCGCTAGGAAAGAGCAGGCACGGCTGAGGGAGCAGCTAAAAGAGGAAAAGTTACGCTGCCAGCAGTTGACTCTGGAAGCCACATCCCAGCATAAACCAGAGGTCCCAGCCCCTGGGCCTGGGGAGGGCAGCGTGTCTAGGGAGACTTACCAGGCTCTACAGGTGACCATGGAGAAGCTACAGGTAAGCAGGTGTCTCCTGACATGGGCCAAGAGGGTGGCAGCAGGTTGCTGCTGTGCCCTGAGCCTGTTGTTTGGGCTCAAGGGCCGATTTTCAGTTGTCATGCGGGAGAAAGTGGATCTACAAGAACGGCTAGACCAATTAGAACACCGTTGCATCCAGTTGTCAGGAGAGACGGACACCATTGGTGAGCAGGGGGCTGGGGGTCACGGCAGGGGGCAGACGCATGGTGGCTGTGAAGGAGCCCCAGTCTCTGAGTCGCATCTGCCCGCCCTCCCTCTCCCTCTCCAGGTGAGTACATTGCCCTCTACCAGAGTCAGAGGGCAGTGCTGAAGGAGAGGCATCGTGCGAAGGAGGAATATATTAGCCGGCTGGCTCAGGACAAGGAAGAGATGAAAGTAAGGGGCCTGGACATCTCCATGGGCAGGAGTGGAAGCAGGGGGCTGGGAGAGGGCAGGGCTAGAAGTGTTGGACACCGCTCTCTCCAGGTGAAACTGCTGGAGCTGCAAGAGCTCATGCTACGGCTGGTGGGCGAGAGGAACGAGTGGTACCAGAAATATCTAGTCACTTCCCAGAGCTCCACTGCTGGTGAGCACACAGCAGCCCCTCCAGCCCCTCAGGAGCTTGACGCTGCCCAAGGCCAAGGTGAGTAGGGCCCTCAGAAGGGTGGGTAGGCAGGCAGGGGAGAGCTTGCGCATTGCTCAGAGCCCTGCCTCTCTCTCTTCTCAGGCCTCTGTGAAGTAAGCCTGGCTGATGATGTGGAGCCTGTTCCAGGAGGGGCTCTCTCAGGCCAGCCCGCCACTGAGAACGCCACTGCCCAGCAGATAATGCAGCTGCTGCGGGAGATCCAAAATCCGAAGGAGTGCCGAGGCCTGGGCAAAAACCCATGCATTCCGTTTTTTTATCGGCCTGATAATAACGACGAGGTAAAGATCTTGATGATCTGAGCCTCGCAGTGGGGTCGGGGCTTGGCCCCTTCCCCTTCCCGGGTACCCTTTACCTGACACCCCTTCCTCATCACTCCTTCCCTGCTATCCCGTTATCCTTAGATGAGCATGGTGGGGCTCCTGGATGAACTCTTTGCTTGATGTAGGGAGGTAGACAGGTGCACACACCTTGATACCATAGCCAGGCTTATTGTTCATCTCTGTGCTATGGCTGTTTTTGTTCAGAAAAACCAAGAGCTCCCACTAAGCAGTCCTCTCTCCAGGGGACCTGTATCCTCTGTTGGGGGGAGGGGGCTGCATCCTCCATTCAAGGGGGCATAAATAGCCCATATTCAAGGTCTGGGCTCAGCATTTCTATTCAAGACTGGGGCTAGGGTATCTCTATGGGGGGTGGGGGGCATCTCGGGTAGGTCTATTTAAGTGGGGAGGGCTGGGATTTATTTAAGGAAGGGCATAGGTATACTGTTAATGGAGGTGCTCAGGCATTATTAAAAGGTGGGGGACGTGGTTATCTATACAAGGGGAGGACTTAGAATCTATTTAAGGTGACAAGCATATAATCCAGTAGAAAGACTCATGTACTATCTATTCAACACAGGGGACTTAGAATTCTATTTAAGGTGGCAGACACACATTCAAGAAGGACTTTTGTACCATCGCATCAATACAGAGGACGTAGAAATCTATTTAAGGTGGCAGACACACATTCAAGGAGGACTTCTGTATCATCGCATCCACACAGGGGACTTAGAAATCTGTTTAAGGTGGCAGACACACATTCAGGGAGGACTTCTGTATCATCACATCAACACACGGGACTTAGAAATCTATTTAAGGTGGCAGACATATATTCAAGGAGGACTTTTGTAACATTGCATCAACACGGTGAATTTTGAAATCTATTTAAGGTGGCAGAATATGCTAGAATGACTTTTGTACCATTGGTTCAAGAGGTAGCAACTCAGAGATCTGTTTAAAGTGGCACTCACATGTTCAAGGGGGACTCTGTACTATCCAGTCAAGGGCAGGTGGGGAGGCATTTTTTTCATAAAAGGGAATTTTATAAATTCTCTGTTAAAGGAGGGTGGAAGTATATTGAAATTAAAAGAGGACTCACATGAATCCTCTACTCATAGAAGGGGGACTTGAATTCTATTCAAAGGAAGGGGGAAGGGATTGAAGTTAAAGGGGGCGCTGCATGGATCCTCTATTAAAGAGAGGCAGGCATATCTGTGAAAGAGGGACTTTCATGTCCTTTCTGTTCAAGGGCAGGGAGCAGGCTTACCTATTAGAAGGGTTTATCATGTATCTTCTATTAAAATGCAGAGGAGGCAGGAATTTATTAAAGGGGCATTCATACACCCCTCTATTCAAGGGTAGGTTAGGCATCTCTATGAAGGAGGGATGCCCAGGTACCCTCTTTTCAAGGTGGGGGACTCAGCCATGTCTGTTCAGGTGGGGGGATGCTCAGGGATTTCTATTCAAAACAAGGGGTTCTATTCCCTCAAGTGGGGGCTTCAGCACCCTTTATTCAAGGGCAATCTCTAACTTCCCCTTTTCATAAGGGGTGACTCAAATATCCTCTTGGGGGAGGCTCAGACATCTTCTTGGGCCCCAGGCAACCTCTATTCAGAGGAAGTTTGTCACACCGGTACACACCTCCAGCCAGCCAGTAGGGGTGACACTCTCACAGGCCCTGGGAAGGACATAGGCTGGTGGCAGGAGGGGATTCCCTACCCCAGTGTATATACTGTATCTGTGTAACATTTTGTATATTCCAGAGGATACAGGCCCCCTGTATCACAGTAAAGGATGGATCTAGCAAAGGGGAGTAAGGTTCTAATAATTATTTGGGGGCTGGGGAAACTTATTTATTGATAGTATAGCACAGAGGAAGGAGCTCTGGTGGCTTAGTGTATAAGGTGTGTGACTGCTAACCCACCAGCTGCTCCACGGAAGGAAGATGGGTCAATCTTCCATAAAACTTTACAGCCTCAAAAGCCCAAGGGGGGTTGCTATGAGCCAGAAACTACCAAGGGTAGTGAGGTGGTGGTTTTTTTTTTTTTTTTTTTTTTTTTGGTATAGCAGAGGAAGGAGGTGGGGACAGGGTTCTGGTACCCTGGTGATTAAACTTGTTTTGCTTTTTATTTCGGAATAAATGGTTTCAGCCAACACTGTTTGGCCTTGAGTGTTTGCTGCCCCTCACTGGGTCCTGGAGTCTGTATTGGCAGAGCTGGGAAGCCAGTCCTGCCAGCAGAGGAAGTCTTTAGGACTGTGTGGAGCCCCAGTGTCTGAGTATGTCCAGTGGGGCTGTTGGGGATCTTCCAGGCCCATTACCTGGAAACTGTTATTTATGGTCACTCCTGGGAGATTCCGTGGGGACTGCCATGGGGGCTATTGGGGACAGTCCTATGCTAATGATGGCCAACAGCTGTACATTTGACAGATAGAGGATCTCTAATCCTGGGGGGCGGTAGGGGGAAGCAAAGTGCCAGTCTTTGTCCATTTCATCACTGGACTCATCTCACCGGTCTGCACCCAGTAGCGTATTCCTCTTGTCTCTCCACATTTGCAGCCCAGAACCCCACATCCTCCCTGCAGCTGAATTCCTGCCCTCTAGTGGCCAGAGCCGGAGCTCTGGTAGCTTAGTGCCTAAGGCATTATGGTGGTTCAAACCCACCAGCCCCTCCTCAGAAGGAAGACTGGGCAATCTACTTCCGTAGAGATGCCACCTCGGAAACCCAAGGAGGGGTCACTATGAGTCAGGACCGACTCGACAGCTGTGAGTTTGGTTTGGTGTTTTAGTGGCCAGAGCAAAGGTCACAGGGATGAGTGCAGGCTCAGCTCCAGGTGCTTTCCAAGTGGGCCTTGGGAAGGATGTGGCCTTCTCTTGCCACTCCTTATGGCATCCTAGCAGGGGCTAGTTCACCCCTACCTTTCCACCCCCCTGGAACTGTCATCTCCCCCCTGGGTTCCATGGAGCCAGCAGAGGACACATTGTTCTCCATCATCCAGAAATGGTTTTATTCTCAGCTAAGAGACAGCAAAACTGGTAGCGGCCAGAGAACCACACAGCTGCCAGTATAGCACCCCCATGCTTTGAGGGGGTGAGGGATGGGAGGGATGGTGGAAAGGGCTGGCTGTCCACAGGCTGGGCATGAAAAGGAAGCTCATTGGAGGTGGAACACTTTGGAGGGGGGATGTCAAGGTGACAGTGTTCCCTGATAGTTGGGCCACAAGACTCCACAAGGACAGCACAGTGATTGAATCCCAACACTAGAGGCAAATCTGTGTCTGCCATATAGACATAGATATATATATATATATATATATATATATATATAGTATATATATATGAGTATTTATAGATATTTATAGAACAGGGCAGGAGCAATACCACAGAGGGGGCACAAGTTTTCACCATTGTCACACCTGGATGTGTCAGCTCACCATTACAACAGACTAAGTCACAGATAAGAGGGGAGGCTATAGGGCTGAGGGAACCAGTGTCAAGTCACAGAATAGCCGTCCAGGCAGGCTTGGAAAGGGAAGTCTCCGAGGAATAGGAGGAATCTGGTTAGAGGTCGAAGGGGGGCCTGGGGCTCTCAGGACGGGATGGACTTGCCTGACCCGATCGGCTGGCAGTTGGAGAGAAAGCAAAGAGAGAAAACGGGAGGGAGAAAAGGAGGGAGAGCTGGTAAGGCAAGAGCAGCTAAGCCACAGCAGTAGTGGAAGGAGATGGCATGGGAAGACACAGGTGCGAGTTTTTAGGCAAGGTGTTTGGAAAAAAGAGACGAAAACCGGAAGGTGGAAGGTGAGGAGCTGGAGATTGGCAGGGGGCAGAGCTTCATGGGGAGTCTCGGGTAGCTACCCCACCACCACACACACTGGTCTCTCACTCACCACCCAGACAGTCCACCCACACCTCCAGAACACATGCTCTGCCCCCTTTGGCTTCCCTGCTAACTCCCTCTTTGGCCCCATGTCTTCCAACCCACTAGCCCTGGGCCACCCCTAGCCTCAGGGAGTATGGGGCCATGAGCCCCACACATCAGCTACCAGGCCTGATGCAGAAAGGTAGAAAACACTGAACCAAGAGTTGAACCTAAACGGATGGCTGGAGGGAGCACTGGAGGCCCCTCTGGGTGATCAGGAAGCCCAGGGGTCCTCTGAGGGGACCCTGGGGGAGGCAGGGAGGGCAGGCAGCTGGATGCCAGTGGCCACAGACTTATAAGTCTAAGAGGGGAGCCTCAGCTGGTCGGGGGACTGCCGGTCGCGTAGGTGAAGCTGGGCCCTTCCTGCTGGGGAAAAGCAGAAGGGCAAGAGTCAGTAGTGGGGGAGGGTGGCAGGCAGGTTAGCTGGGCAAATTTTGTGTCCCAGCTTGGGCAGAGCTCAGAGAAGCTGACTTGTCCTGCACAAGGCCCAGGTTGGCAGACACTGTTGTCCCCATGGCTGAAAAGTGTAGGTCATCCCCAAGAGCAAGAAGCCAAAGTCCACGAGGCCATTGGCTGGCTTTGGTGCTTCATTTGGGGTTGAGGATGCTGCCACCTGTCACCCATGAGCAGTTTTGACAATACCAAGGAGGTAGAGTAAGGAGGGTGTCTGTCTCTGCCTCACTTGTGAGGTGTGTTACAGGCGGACGGTGAGTATAGTCCCCTCAGGATTTCAGAGATCATCAAACAACTGGGGCCTTCAACTCAGGTCACTGCTCGTTTGCATGACAGGAGGTGGGTCTCTGACCACCCCTCCCCTGCCATGACGTTGATTCCCAGACCTCCCAAGCTGGGTGTTGGATATCCTGCCCCAGCAGCATGTTTCAGATAGAAGATGAGTGTAGCTTCTCCCGGGGATGAAGTTCAAAGCTTCTAGCTGCCTCTACCATACTAACCCTTTCCAAGCTCCTAGCCCCTGAACCATAAACTATGTGCTCTCTGCCCTTTCAGATGTTTCCAGAGAGTACCCATGTCTGCCAGCTTGGGCATGGAGCCTGTCTCAAAGAGCCCTCCAGGCTCAGCCATGGAAGTCTTGGGCAGTGGCACTGAGTCCCGAGGCTCGCTGGGGAGGGAGGTGAGAGAGCCAGCTGGCAGGGAGGACAGAAAGAGGAAAGAGTAAGTCTGGAGCTGCAGAAGGGAGAGGGAGGGGAGCCTGGCTCTGAGGTCCCAGGTGCGCCCCTCAATGTGGAGCTGGTGCAGCAGGGGAGGCAGACACACCGTTCATGCAGCAAGTGGAGAGGCATGTACCTACCGTGGCTGACGCTCCTCAGGGGTCACTGATAGTGATTCTGAAAGACAGCACGAAATCAACATGGCAGTTCACACGCACGGATGGGGCTGGCCTGGGGGCGGGGAACGCGCACACGCACACGCCTGGGCGTGCACACACATGCTGTGAGGCCTCATGGCCTGGCATGCACACACTAACACACATGCTCACAAACAACAGGCATACACCCCTGCAGCCCTCCCCCCTCACTGCCCAGCACCCTCACTGCTGGCACGTGCAGCATGGATCTGGGGCATGCAGCCACTGGGCACATGGAAGCACGTGCATGGGCTGAGTCACGACACAGAAGCTCGCCCGCACACAGAAGGCATTTGCACCAGCTCCCTGTACACTTGTGCCTGGTGTGCCACTGCTCCAGAAGGGGCTGGACTTGCTTCCTTGGGGTCCAGCTGTCATTTTCTCAGCCCAAGAGCCTTCCATGGCTCCCTATCACCCACAGCATTGAGTCCCAAGTCAAAATGTCTCTAGGGACTTTGAAGGGTCTCCATCCAACCTGCCCCACCTTACCCAGGTAACCTCCACATATTCCTCCTTGCTCTGTCTGCACTCTCTGCTCTGGCCAACGGCTCTCTTCAACACATCCCACACTGAACCTTCACCTACATTGCTGTTCCCTGCCCAAATGCCCTCCCCACCCTTATCACAATCATCCCCCACACCTCACTTTAGTCAAGCTTCCTTTAAGAAGCCCTTCCAGACTCCTCTCTTCTTTGAGGCAGGGCCAAATGTTTCCCATGTGTCAGGAAGACCAGAGTTAGATTACCATCTCTTACAGTTCCCTATTCCACACCTCAGCATAGAGCTGCGCATGTGTAAATACCCTGAAGAATCTGAATTCAAGTTGTCAGTTAGCAAAGTGTTCCTATGGCTAGATTTGCAGTTAATGCAAATACAGCATCCCTATAGCCGTTGTCTTCTTTGATTCCCACACCAACACTGAGAGGAAGGCAGAAAATTCATCATCATTGGTAGAAAGGAAACTGAGACCCTGGAAAGGAAAGTGACTTATCTAAAATCTTAAGGTGAACCAGCATCTCTGGACTCCCCAATTCCATGCTGTCTGCCTTTACCCCATTTGCTTCTGTCATCAGATCACCATAGAGCAAACCCCATCCCCCTTTCTTTTGGGTTTATGGAGGCTAGTCCCATGGCTCAACCCTCCAAACCTCTGGAAACATAAACAGATGCTATTGGTCTGATGTGTTCTTAGAGAACGTGGCCAGTGCAAACAAGGCAGAATGAGTTAGATATTGGAGGGAACTTCCTTCAAAGAGGGTCATGGATCAAGAAGGCAAAATCAAAGGGGGTAGTAGAGTCATTTTCCTTGGAAATCTCTGGGAATGGGACAATTTTCACCCATTTCTGCCCCTTTCCTCACCAGCTGGTCCAGGCCAGGTAGGACCAGAGGCAGGAGGAGGGGAAAAAACTCGTAAGACTACTTCATAGCTCCTGGACCCCTTCGCCAGCTGATCCTTGTCCTACCCAATGCCTGGGTGCCACTCTTACACTCACATGCCTGTGTGCACGCCCACACACACATCACACACTGATGGTTGGTCACACAGCCACAGCCTAGCCTATGTTCCTGTGGGCCAGAGGTCCAATACCCTCTTGGGGCAGTTCAATGGAGTCGGGATTGGGAGGCTGGGGCATCAGAGTAGCCCTGAGGATAACTGAACAGAATCCACACATCCGGAGAGGATCTGGGTTCAGATCCTCGGGTATGCTCGAGGGAGGCTCACCAAAGGCTGGGAGAGGAGTAGAGGACCGAATGGAGAATGGAGAAGAGCGAGAAGGGGAAAGGAGGAACACAATGTATGAAAGGCTGAGAAAAGTGAAAAAGGAACGAAGCGCCATGCAAGTGCTGGAAAGAAGGGGGCGGGTGGGACGAGTCCCACGGCCCCCTCCCCAGGAACGACCACCTCCGGGACTCAGCGCTCTCTGGGGGCCAGGCCAGGCTCCATCAGCCCTCGGCCGCACACCCCGTGGTTCCGGCACCCACGGTCTGAGTGTCTTGGATGGAGAGGGGCAGCTCTAGCGGCCCGGGCTGATGCCTTAGAATCCGGATCTGGCCCCGAGGCGGGCTCCCCACTCTCCACCGCCCCGCACCCTCCCAGCCATGTCTAGTCAGGCGGCCTCTCCCACCGCACTCAGCCCCTACTCACCTGGGAACCCCGGGAGGGGCGCGGTTGGGGCGCGAGGGCACCTGGGGGGGAGGACCGAAGGGATCAGGGGAAGCCCCCGGCCTGGAGGGCACGGGGGGCGCCCCCCCCAGGGCGGACCCAGCAGGCGGAGGCCCAGGAGCAGGGCCCCGCGATCCTGGCCGGGCTGGGGGCACGGCGGGGGCTCGGCGCTGTGGCGTGGGGCTGGACGTGGGCGACCTGCGGGCGATAGCGATTGGGACGCAAGCAAAGAAGAAAGATAAGTCCTTCTGCTCAACCTGAGGCCCCGCCCTCAGGCCAGTGCAGGCCCCGCCCATGCACGCAAGCTCCGCCCCGCTCCGCCCAAGGTTCTTTCCAGAGCTTAAGGCCCGCCCCCAGAGGCGCCAACGTCCCAGCCCCGCCCCGCAGCCAGCGCTCCACGGCAAGCCCCGCCCCGCGACAAAGCCCCGCCCCTCTCTAAGCTCCGCCCCTCGCTCCAGGTGGGAGCCGCCCCGGTGACGCGGGCGCGCCACTGCCCGGTCCCGGCCCTCCTCCCGCGGGCCCCGGGCTGGGGGCTTTGGGGCCTTGGGGGCCGGCCCTGGTACCTGCGTCCGGTCGGTACGCTCTGCACCTGCAGCCACGAGTCGTCCACAGGCGGGGGCATGGGCGTGCTGACGGTGGTCGTGTTGATGTCGCCGATGATGCTCAGCGCCTCCTTCAACGCGTGGTACATGCGCAGCATCTCGTCGCGGCGCTGCGCCTGCTCGGCTGACTCCTCCATCAGAGTGTTCTGGTCCCCGCACGAGTACAGGTTGGCCAGTAGCTCCGAGAAGATGAACTCCTTGGTCTGCGGGCCCGCGAGGAGGAGAATGGGCTAAGACCCGATGTCTGAGCCACTCCGCACACCGCCGGGCCCTGTTGGGACTTTCCACTGGCCTGAGTGGGGTTTGGCGTTTCATATGTAGCTTCACTACCGCCTAAACTCGGAGTCTCCCCACCCCCCCACTTTGCTCTTTTTTCAGATTGAGGACCAGAGAGGAAAAGTGACCCGCCCAAGGTACAGATCTGGGAGGAGACTGAGGACCTATCACACTACCAGTACACCTGCCTTCTTAGTTCTTTGAGCCTTAGTTTCCTTAGTTATATTCTTTCCAAAGAGTTGCATTCTCTACTGGACCAAAAAAGGGAAGATGAGGGCTTAAAATTGTCTGAATCCTTAAGAATTGAGAGTAACAAGTTTAAATGTGCACCTGGATTGGGTTTTCCAGGTGTTCCCCATGCTAAGGCTCTGAGACATTCATGGAGAGATGCTTAGGGTTTTTTTTTTAATAATTATTATTCCGTAGGCCCTTGTCTCTTTTATTATTCAAATATATGCTGGCCACCTACTATGTGGTAGGTACTGTGTTGTTATATACTTTATATGCATTTCATCCTCAACCCTGTAAGGTTGGTGCTATTATTATCCATATTTTACGTATTAGGAATTAGAAGTGGGTTTGTTTTTTAGGAAATACAGGTTCAGAGAGAGTAGTTCATTTGCTCCAAGTCACACAGAGAATTCCTAGCAAAATCAGGGTTCCAATCCAGTTCTCATTCTCCATGCTTTTTCCCTAAGCCACAGGTTGCGGTAGTGCTGTGGGGTATGTATTTCAAAGCCTCCTCTGAGCGTTCTCAAAAGAGGCAGGTTCCTGCACCCTCCTAAGACCTAACTCAAAAAACTCACTGCTGAGTCAGATCTAAGTCAGATCCAGCCCCTCCTTGGACTTCCGAGGCAGTATCACTACAGAGGTAGATTGCCCAACTTTCCTTTCAAGGAGTGGCTGGTGGGTTTGAACCTCCAGCCTTCTGGTTAGCAGTCAAATGCCTTAGGTATTACGCTAGCAGAGCTCCCTCCCAAGACCTAATGAATCAGAATTCCTGGGGTGGTGCCTAGGAATGAACATTTTAGCCAGATTTCCAGGCTAAATGCATAGTGAAGTTTGAGAATGCTGCTGTTGGGTGCGATACATGGAAATGTGTGAGCTGTCTATTGAAGGCAGGGGTGCTTCTGGACTCTGGGGACCAACCTGAAGAGAACTAGGAACCTGGGGTCAAAGGAGAAAGGGATTGTCCCTGGATTATTTTGTGGCAGAATCCCTCACTGTGCCAGGAGCACTGCTTTTATCTTAGTGATCCCTCCCTTCCCTAGTTCACTCAGCATGGGTGGCCCACCAGAAGTATCATTAATGATTGCCAATGGTGTGCCAAGGATGGGGGCCTTGAAAATACAGTTGCATATAATGTGAGCATGCTGGGCCAAGAGGAAGCCTTGGAGAGGGCCAGGGTAAAGATATGTGAGGCTATGTAGGGTGGGGACTCCCTGCTCCGGGACTGTGGATAGAGGGGACTGGCATGTGCTGTCTACATAAAAATTATGTTTTCTCTGAGATCTAGCCTTACAGAGCTAGCCTATGCTTCTTCTCATTGACCCTGGAATACTGGACCATGTCCTCCCCCACCAGACCATGCCCTAGTGGTCTAGACCATGCTCCCCCCACTTTGCCCCAATGTTCTGTACCACACTTGCCCCACCAGACCTGGCCCCAGAGGCCCTTGCCTCTCTCAACATTTCTGGCCCCAGAGATCTAGACCTGCACTGTCCAATATGGTAGCCACCTGTGACCGCTGAGCACTTGAAGTGGGCCAAGTGCGACTGAGGAACTGAATTTTGTATTTAGTTTCATTTTAATACAAATTTAATAATTGGTACTTGATTTAGTTATTGGAAAACTTTTTGAAGTATGTTTGGAACAACTTGTATATGTGAATCTGCTTTTTCAACTGTGAATTTCATGAACTCTAAATATAGATTGAGTATTTACAATGAAAATTTAGTGATTGAATCAGATTTGGAAAATTTAGTACAAAAAAAAAAAGAATGTAAAAGAGCTCAATAATGTTATATTGATCCCACATTGAAATGATATTTTAGATGTATTAGGTTAAATGAAATATATTATTACAATCAACTTTGTTTCTTTTTACTTCTTTTTAATGTGGCTACTAAAAAATGTGAACTTATATGTGAAGCTCACATTATATTTCCCTTGGACAGCTCTGGTCTAGACCATGCCTCCCTCCTACACCTGGTCCCACAGGGCTGGCTTGCAGGTGCCTCCCTCAAGCTAAACTGTCTGTCTTGGTCCTACCAGAGCACCTCATCCCCCATGCAGTGGGCCACGCACGTTGTTGATCATGAGGTGCATGATGGTCTTAGGCATGAGGTCCCGCACAGTCTTGTTGACGATGGCCATGTATGAGTCCACCAGGTTCCGGATGGTCTCCACCTGCCGCTCCAGCTGTGGGTCCATGGAGTGCATGAAGCTGTCCGAGCCATTCTCTTCAGTCTCACTGGCCTGCGGTTGGCAACAGACAAGTGTCAGGGTGGCCAAATCTGTCCAGTCTAACAGGGCCCTGCTGGGCTTCAGCCCCCAGTCCAGAGTCTCAGCCCCTCCAGGGGTGTGGTGGAACACTGAGGCACAGGGAGGAGACAAATCTGGCCTGAACACCCCGACACCCAGCTCCTCCCACCCCAGTGCCTCTCAGGACCCCAGACGCCCTTTCTTCAGCCTTGTTTCTGTTCTGATTTTAGTGCCTAGAATTTGCTTGAGTTTTGTAATCCATGAATTAGAAAAGAACACCTCCAAGGTTTCCCAGGTTTCCTTCTGATTCTGAAAACCTGGGTGGCACTGTTGCCTGGGAGAGGTCTAGCAGAAGGCAAGGGAAGGGCACACTCACTTTCTCCTTGTCCTGGGAGGCCCACACCAAGGCCACAAGGCCGCCACACCAGCATTGCCACCACCGCCGCCACCAGATAGGACAGCCGAAGCAGACACACACACAAAGGAAAAGAAGAGAAACTGAGTGAAGCCAGGCACCGCACCCCAGCTCTAAGGCAACTCTAGATTATTACAGTAAAAGAGGAGACAGACAGACTTCTATGGAAGAAGACAGCCCAAAGAAACCACCACCGCATGGAGGGGATGCAAGAAATGCCTCCCATGGCAGAGAAGGCCTTGGAGAATCTCACTCCAGGGTCAGTGGGCACAGGGATCCCCGAAATTGATGAGCCCAATAAAGGCTCAGAAACATGGCATGGCTTGGTATCACTGAGGGTGGTGCCTCAGAGACCCCTCATATAAGCAGCCTGCCTCTTCCCTCCCTGCCTTCACTCACCCCAACACGTTCAGGGTACACGCCAGCCCTCAGGAAGGAGGCCTTCCAGCTGTCCACTTCCTCCTGGGTCTCACAGGCCAATTCCAGCTGCCGGTAATCCTTGTACACATTCCTGTAAGATGGGCAGGTGGTGAAGGGAGGCCAAGGCAAAGCCCACCCTCCTTGGTGGTTAAGGGAATGCATGTGTGGTGGGGTCATCAGGCCTGGGGTGCAGTCCTGGCTTTCTTGTTTCCCAGCTGTGTGTCCCTGAGAAGGTCTCATTCTCCTTCCACACCTTAGTTTTCCTCATCAAGCAAATGGGTTAATTGTAATAATAATTGCTGCCTCCTAGGGTGATGGTGGGGGAGCTCTGGTAGCATAGTGGCTAAGGCACTTGACTGCTAACTAGAAGGCTGGTGGTTCAAACCCACCAGCCACTCCTCGGAAGGAAGGTTGGGCAATCCTACTCCCGTAGTGATACTGCCTCGGAAACCCAAGGAGGGGTCGCTATGAGTCGGGGCCGACTCGACGGCAAATAACAACAATAACAACAACAGGGTGATGGTGGAGTCATGGTAGGAGCTCTGGTAGCATAGTGCCTAAGGCACTTGACTGCTAACCAGAAGGCTGGCGGTTCAAACCCACCAGCCACTCCTCGGAAGGAAGGTTGGGCAATCCTACTCCCGTAGTGATACTGCCTCGGAAACCCAAGGAGGGGTCGCTATGAGTCGGGGCCGACTCGACGGCATATAACAACAACAGCAACAAAAAGGGTCATGGTGAGGGATTAGGGAAACAAGTAGTAAAATACTTAGAAAGAGACTGAACCCTCAATCAAAGAGGCATCCAGTAGACAATGCAGACCCCTGGCTTAGATCTCTGACCCTATTTGGCTCCCTCCCTGGCTCTCTGAGGACTTCCCTCAGGGACAGCTGCATTCAATCTTCATCTCTGATTAGGACTCACTCAAATTCTCACTACCGTCCTCCTCGAGTTTTCGAGGAGGTATCGCTACGAAAGTAGATTGCCCCATCTTCCTTCCGAGGAGTGGCTGGTGGGTTTGAACCGCCAGCCTTCTGGTTAGCAGTCAAATGCCTTAGGCACTACACCACCAGAGCTCCCTAGGACCCACTAGAAAGGTGAAAAGGAGCACTGGTGGTGTGGTGCTAAAGCATTTGACTACTAACCAGAAGGTTGGAGGTTCAAACTCACAAGCTACTCCAAGAAGGAAGACAGGACAATCCACTTCTGTAAAGACTGACTGCCTCACAAACCCAAAGGGGTTTTTATTCATTGGAATTGTGAGTTTCAAGTCGAGAGAGGTGAAAGAAGCTCTGGTGGTGCAGTGCCTAAGGCATTTGACCGCTAACCGCTGTTGGTGGTTGAAACCCACCAGACACTCCACGGAAGGAAGATGGGACAATCTACTTCTGTAAAGATTTACTGCCTCGGAAACCCAATAGGGGTCGCTATGAGTTGGAATCGACTCGATGGCAGTGGGTTTGTTTATTTATTTGGTTTAGAGAGGTGAGAGGCCTACTTTGCTACTGATCCCACTGGACATTGAGCAACACGAGATAGGGGCCGAGGAGCTTCTGATCTTTACTTTGTTCCCAGGTCCTGGCAGGTTGTCCCATGCAGAGCAGGCACTAAACAAGGGACTGTAGAAGAAAGCAAGGGAGGAAGGGACTTGGCATGACGTCTAGCAGAGTAGCTCAGTAAATACTCGTCAGAGGAATGACTTGCTATGGGGCTCGGGGCAGGTCCCTCTCCTCTCTGAAGCTATGTATCCTGATTTGTACTCAGTGAGGGTAGTTTCAGGCTTGTAGGATCTGGGGCCCCAGGGGGCAGCCCCAGGCCGGGGGCAGGCAGGCACCTCTGTTCCGTGTTAAAGAGGGCAAAGATATGCTTGCTCGACATGAAGCCCTTCTCCACGTCCCGCAGCTTCAGGTTGTCCACAGACAGCATGTATTTCTTCTCTTTCTCCTGTAGGGAAGAGCAGGAGTGATGAGTGAGGATGGCACTCTGCCTGCCACATTCACTGCCTACGAGTGCTCCTGCTGGCCTATGCCTGGTGCTGTGGATCCCCAGAGAGCCCTCACACTCTACAGGTGCTGACTGAGGAAGGCCTCAAAGGGCACAGTGTCTAAGCCATTCCTCCCACCTCTGCAGATGGGCCCAAGCCTTGGAGCCCAGAGTGGTAAGGCTGAGGCTGGACCCCACATCCCTCCCCAAGCAAGCCTTGGATGCTAGCCAGGGCATCCCCAGGCAGGGACCCCGCCTGGCTGCTAGGACACGTGGCTTGCTATGGATAAGCCACTGACTTCATTTCCTGACTCAGAGACAGAGAAGGGGGCGGGCCACCAGCCCCAGAGGCTTCAAAGGGCTGGTTCAGCCCACTCCCTCCAGCCACCCATGTGTTAGCAATCAGGCACACAGCTCAAGCCGGCAGATGGTGTGTTTATGTGTGCAACATATGCATGGTTGTGTGTTTGTGCAAACATGTGCAAGCCTGAGTACATATCCTGTCACCATCGTGTGTGTGCCCATGTGTCTGTATTGCATGTGTATGTATATGTGTGTGCACATATATGTTTGGGGAGGTACCCAACGTAGACCCGTGTCAGTGCAAGCAATTTGTTGATCAATGCAGATGTGTGCCTATGAACAACTTTTGTTGTTCGTATGTGTAACGATTGTTAAGTACCTAAGTGTTTGCATGAACGTGTCTTTTTGTACTTCAGGTGACATAGTTATGTACAGTTTGTGTAATAGGCTGTATGTTCGGTTTGTCTCTAGGCACTGGGAGAGAGTTATATGAATCTGTGGATAGGTGTGTAGAGTGCTAGGCTCTGTGCACGTTTGTACACCTTGTATAAGCTGACATAGGTCTAAGAGGAAGGGACTCAAGTTCTGGGGAGGAGGAACCCCAGGATGGGGTCTGGGAGGAGGGAAGGGTTTCTGCTGTCTCTCCCCTGCTTACCCACACAATGCCACAGCACCTATGCCAGGTTGGCAGGGCTGGGCCTGGGGTAGTGGTGGTGGATCTGTGTGGGTCTCAGAGACTCAGAGGACTTGGGCGGGAGCCCCACCCAGAATCTCAGGTGGGGGGCTGAGTTTAGGAGGACCCTGCTGCCTCCTCCCAGCGTCATCCTGCCCACTCCCCCCCAACCCATCCAGCCACATAAAGCCGCCTTTATGCCAGGCGGGTGGCCTGGAGCCCCAGAGGGCGGCTGGGGGAGGAGGGGAGGAAGTTGCACACACGGCCAGAGAACATCTGGAACCATTCGAGGGAGGCCCCACCGCCACCGCCCTGTGCTTTGGGGTTGGACACTAGGTAGGAGCGGCCTCCTCCTCCCACCCCTCCCTTCCTGCTGGGTCGGCCCCCTCCCCAGGCCCCTCCTTCCCAGCCACAGCTCCCTGCTCACCCTTGCCACGTCAAAGAAGGCAGAAGGGGAGTCGGGAGCAGAGAAGGGACCACGGCTGGCTGGGCTGGAGCTGGGGGAACACTGGAACTGGGGCTGGGGAGGCTTGGATCTCTAGGAGATGGGGCCGAAGCTCCCACCGGATGGATAGACATTGCTGCCTGGATGGACCAGAGGACACCTCCACTCCGTCTACCCAGTGTTTAGACTATCTGTTCAGGACTCCCAAATTGTACAGTAGTCTGCACATTGGTTAGGCTGGGCTGGGTTAGACCCTCGGCGCCGACGCTGGAGAGCTGGATGGATCCCCTCCCTCCAACCCAGATCTGGAGCCTGGAGCCAGGGCAGGGGGCTTGGGTAGCACAGGGAGGGCTGGGAGAAGGTATAGAAGGCTGGGGGTGCCACCTAGTTGTGGGATGGGGTGGGTAGTGGGTAATGGTGGTGACGGGAGAAGGCGACAGAGGAAGACTGAGAAGATAAGGGGTCAATGAGGGCTGGGGATATGGGTGACTGCTTGTCTGCCCAGAGGGTTTCCCTTTGCCACCAAAGACTAGATAAAGGGTTGGTGACTGGGTGGAGGAGGGGGACCCCCACTGCCCAGACCACGTCAAAGTCCCCTGCTGTCCTAGTGCAAAACTCCACTCACACTCAAACACACAGTGCCTCACCTCGACACCCGTCCCCACAACTCAGGCACATACATTCACAGATCCACACCTGAAATCACATTTTCATGCCCCGTGCACACACACATGCATGTACACACACACACACACACCCTCACAATGGGCCACTCTTCTTCTGCATCCTGACATCCCAACCACACATGTATGTATTCTCAGGTCCCAAATATTTCACATTCACACCCTTCTTCCTCAATCCCACTCCCCCAAACACACACACACCTACCTGCACTTCAGCCAGGCACACACACACAAACACTTGGAAAGTCACACCTCAAGGTCACACACTCAACCCCAAATACACACGCACACCCTCGTACTCCAAACACACCTAGGTGCTTACACCCCAAACACATTCTCCCCCAAAACACCCACACACCTCATCCACACACCCCCCACACACACACCCCACCTCCCACCCCTCATTACCCATGCTCCATCCCCACCCCACCCCCACTCCAAGCAGTTGTTCACACTTGAAAAAACTCAAATGTCACACAAAGCTCAAAACAGACTCACATACCCAGGTAAGTGGCCAGAGGGCCCCTATCATTTGCACTCAGGTCCCCCCCACACACAGTGCATCCAGTTGGGGCCCTCAGACCCAGGCCACACTGTCACCCTGTCCCTATATTAGGAGCCTCAAAGTGGGAGCACCAGGAGTTGTGGGGCCAGGAGTTGAGGCCCCCAACCCCTAGGGTGTCTAGGAAGCCTGCCTGGACGACAGTGCAGGAAGCGACCCCCCTATGGGGGCTCTACGCCACCTCACACTCCATCCTTTCCAGGGGCCCTACTTGCTCTCACTCGTGCTAGGGGAGAGGCCAGGGTTGGGGTAATGAGGTCCAGATGGCTTGGCACCCCTGCCAGTGACGACAGAGGGCCCCACCCAAGGTGGGAAGGAGGGGGCCCTGACTAGGGCAGACTTAGAGGAGGAAGGGACCAAGGAGGGGGCTTGGAGACCAAAGTCACAGGCCCTCACCCCAAGCCTCACTCTCCCATTTGAAAGCACCCTATCCTCCAACAGCCCTTCAGGAAGCAGAGGGCCCCTTCCCCCACTTCTTAGCCAGCTGGCGTTCATTACCACAGCCCCCCCACCCTCCCCTTCTCTCTGGTCACCTCTGGAATCCAGATGTGGAAGCCAAATAGACTCATTCTTAAAGGAGACCAGCAGCAGGGGAGGGGAGTGGCAGGGGGCTTCTGTGCGCTCAATGGGCAGGGAGGGGGTTGTGCAGTGGCTCTACAGGCCGCTACCATCGCACCATCCTCCTCAGCCTGGAAGCACCCTGGGCATCCCCCATGGACTGCTGGGCTCTAGGGGGCTGGGGTGCAGGGGTTAATAGGGTGTCTGGCAGCGAGGCTTGTGTGTCATGGGCCTGTGGGGGCCACAGAAGAGGAGGCACGCCCTGAAGCGGGAAAACAGGAAGGCTGGGCTAGCGACATCAGGGAGGGGTACCTGGCATTCCTGCCCACCATCTCCAGGACCCTGACTCTGCCCAGTTACCTTCTTTTTACAACTTGGATGAGAGCCCCCTGCCCCAATCCCCAGAATCTCCTGCCTCCAATCTTTGCATCCCACCTCCTCCCATGGGTCTTTGGTATAATTTAAAAAAAAAAAAAAAACCCTCATTGTGGTAGGATCTGAGGCCAGCTCTGGCCACCAGCTGGCCCCTTCATGACCAGGGGCCCTGTGCTCACCTCATCATCCTTGTACCAGGACAGATTCTCAGCAGTCAGCACAAACCAGTACTCCTTGGAGCCACCCTTCATGATGCCAATATTGTTGATGGTCAGCCAGCCCTTCCGGATGACCTGGAGGGTGAGGGGCCAGGAGGTCAGTAGGTAGGGGCCAGGCTTCCCCACGAAGAACCAGGTAGACAAAGAGAGGCATTCAAAAGCCCACCCCTTCCCCAGCTCTTGAAAGCATGACTGCTCAGGGGAGTGGGGCGCCAGACCTGCCCTGGTTTGAACTACAAGTGAATGGAGTGGGAAACAGGAAGACAGAGCTCACCTCAGGATAAGGAGCTTACTGATAGAGCATTCTGAGTAAGGGACCAGTGGCCTTGGTTGGGGATGAGCTCCCCACTGCTAAGTGTGCAAGCAGAGTTTATGTAGCAGATGGAGGGAAGGCAACTCTGAGTTCCTTTTCAGCTTATGATCCATTCACTCTAAGACTTTTCTGTCAGATCTCAGGGACTTTGCATAGGCTGCTGCCTCTGTCTAGAAAGTACTTTCCCTCCCTCTTTGCCTACAAATTCCTACTCACCCTTTGGGTACCAGCTCCTAAGTCATATTCTCAGAAAGGCCCTCGCTGGCTCCCCAGTATAAATTAGGACTGCTGTTATAATCTTTTATCACTTCCTTAAGTCTTCTATGAAGGAGCTCTGGTGGCACAGTGGTTAAGCATTCGGCTGCTAACCAAAAGGTCAGCAGTTTGAACCCACCAGTTGCTCCATAGGAGAGCGGTGAGGCAGTCTGCTTCCATACAGCCTTGGAAACCCTATGGGGCATTTCTACGCTGTCCTATAGGATCGCTATGAGTCAGAATCGATTCGATGACAGTGAGTTTTGGTTTGGTTTAAGTCTTCTATGACACTGACTGAGATTTTAAATTAATTTGGTGTGTATGTCTGATTACCTGTTGGTATAAGCCTCCCCCACTGAATTACAGACTCTCTCATTCACTAGTATTTCCCCAGCACATTGCAGGGTGCTTAGCAAACAGTAAGTGATCTGTAAATGTGGCATGAATAAATGAATGCTACATACTATGGTTCTAAGTCTTTGGGCCCCAGGCCCAGGACCCAGGTTGAGTGGTGGGGAGAAGGAAAAGGGAGAAGGAACTGAGTCAGGAAAAGCCCAGGCCCCTTCTTCCTGAGTAAAGTTCAGAGTGAAAAGCAAAGGTTCCTTTTTATGTCAGGGACCAGCTGTCCCTAGAACCATCCTGAGCTATCACCATATACTGGGGTCTGTCAGTTCTCCTCCAAGGGCAGGATCACTGCACATGCCCTGGTGGTGGGCCAGTCCCGAGCCCAGGAGCCTGGTGCAGACTGAGAGGGTGAGGGAACTGCTGCTTCTCCCTCCCCTGACCCAGACATCGCTGGCTTCTCTGAGCATCCAGAGAAGACCTGAGGAGGGCTGGGGGCTAGCAGGAAAGCCTCCTAGGGTCAGGCTTGATTCTGAGGTCCTCAAAGCCCTCCTGGAGCCCTCCTTACCCCCTCTCTGGCTTCTCTGAGAATCTTGCGGAGAACCCAAGTCACACAGCCAATCAGTAGCTAAGCTGAGGGGAAACCATAGCTGTCTTAGTCAGTTAACAGGACACAGTAGCCAGGATTCCATGACTCCTCTTCTGCCCCTGTCCCAAGAGCTGACTAGCAGACCTCACCACCCTGCTCCCTGCCCAGACTCGAAGACTTTATCCTCACCTTGGTCATCCCCAGCCCTGCACTCCTCTCTGCTTGCCCACCCTGCTCGGGGCTCTCAGGGGTCTTTAGCTGGGCTTTGCCTGCAAGACCAGGTCTTTACAGGGCAGGGGCAGGTCTGACTCCTGTCCAGGACCCAGCACAGTGTAGGTACCAGTGAGTATTTGCTGAACTGAATTGTTGCAAAATATCCCATTCATAATTCCTTCATTCTGCTGAGTACCTACTGCACGTCAGACACTGGGCTTGGAGGTAAGGATTTAGTGATAAACAAGACAGACTCAGCCCCTGCCCTCATGGAGCTAGGGAAGGAAATAGACATCAAACCAATAATCACACAAACATCTAGATTATTACAAAGAAAATATGTCCTATGGAACTTATCAGAGGGGAAGCTCAGAACTCTATAGCTGTTGTGTATGAAGGGGGTTAAGACAGGGTTCATGATGAGTACTATTTTGCAGAGATCTGAGGGACAGAGTGCAGAAAGCCAGGTGAGGAATGGCTTGTCTCTTGACATTTCATTCTTTACTCAACTCTGGTAGAGCTGGCTGTCAGCTTCTTAAAAACATGTCTCCCTCCCATCCATCCATCCATCCATCCATCCATCCACCAGATGTTTAAGGAGCACTTACTCTACGCCAGGCCTCTGCCAGGCATTTTCACACACCTCTCCCTACATGGACTGCCTGAAGCAGGTGTTTAGCTCATGCACACTGATAGACAGACTGATGGAACTATGCATGTGGCTAGGCCTTGCCTCTGGCCTGACAGCATGTGTGAGACACCCATGTATTGATGTGTGCAAGTGGCTCAAGCCAAAGGGCATTCTCTTGCCCCCTGCATATCCCCCTTACCAATCAGTTCCCCTCCTCCCCCTCACTACACAAGCCAAAAACCCCAGTCCTGGTACTCACCAAAATCTCATCCTGCAAAGAGGTAACCATAGCAACCACGAGAAGCATCGGGAGAGAGGAGAGAGGGTTACTGAGGCAGGGTGGGAGGCTTGTGGCTGGCGGCTGACAGGCTCCCTGGCCCCCATGGGACCCCTTCCCTCAGGGGAGGGGGCTCTCAGAGCTTGGTGTCCGTCCGGCACCCTCCATCCCTCGGGCTGGGAAGCTGGGGCCCACTCACCTGGTTCCCTGAAGCCTTCTTCTTGTTCATCTGGTTGCTCCTCTGCTGAGCACTAATGGGGAGACAGGGGAGGAGTCTCAGAGCTTCTTCTCTCAAGGGGCCCCATTCAATGGGCAGTGAATCCAGTGGGTTAACCCATGGGCTTGGGTCCTACACATGCACACACACACATCCACTCATATGAGAGGTGTCACCTTCTCTGTCCAGGGAGCACTCACTTGGCAAAGCCTATGAAGTCCTCATGGTTGGTGTTCATGTAAGCCAGCTCAATATCAATGAGGAGCATGACCTTCAAGGATACACAGGTCAGGGAGCAAATGGAAAAGACATTACATAAAGTTTAAAAATGAATGACAAGCTGGGAGAAAAATACTTGCACCACATATAAAAGGTTAGTATCCATAATAAATAAAGAGTTTCTACAAATCAATAAGAGAAACACAAGAAACATGAATCAAAATAGACCAAGAAAATGAATAATTCATAGAAGAAATGCATATATCCGATAAACATATGTTAAAAACATGCTCACCCTCATTAATAATGAAAGAAATTCACATTAAAGTAACGAGACCCTTTCTTAACCTATCAAATAAGTGATAAATATTGGTAATGGTGAGTGTGCGCATGAACGTAGAGAGATAGATTCTCTTACACTGTTAGTAGAAATGTACAAGAGGGCAATTTGGAGTATATAACAATATTAAAGTGTACATAGACACTTCCATAACTATGTCTCACAGATGAACTCAACAAATGAGGAGAAATGTATATACCAGGTGTGGTTTGTAATAGAGAAAAACTGAGAACAAACCAGTGGTCACCAGAAGGCCAAAGAGATTATAGTACCCTCTAAACAATAAAACATTTTGTAACTGAAAGAATGAGGAAGATTTCTATGTTCTGGTGCTGGAAAGAGTCCCTTAGAAATGGTTACGTGTGGAGGGATTCGTAATTGTATCATGATGAGGGAAAGGCTCTGAATGGAGACCATCAGGTTCAAACCCAGACCCTGCTGCTTGCTGTGAGCAGGGATGGTCCTCTCTGAGCTTCAGGTTCTGTATGTGGAGTGTTTCTGCCTTACAGACACTGGTGGCAATAAGACAAGGCAGGTCGCGTATCTGATGAGCAATCTGTGCTTATACAATGCTGTTGTTGTTGTTATGTGCCAATTGTCATTAGACAGAAAAGGCAAGACACAGCAGGATTAGGGTTCCTTAAGATAAAGACAGAATCTTTTCGGAGTCTGTGTGTGTGTGTATGTGTGTATTCATGTTCTCAGGAAAATGTATGGAAGGGAACACACCACACTGCTAATATTGCTTATCTCATGGGACGGATTGGAGAGCGGTGGAGAGTGAAGGAGGAACTGTCGTGTGCTGTGGAGTCAATTCCGATTCAGAGCAACCCCATGTAACAATATATCTGCCCCATAGGATTTCCTAGGCTGTAATCTTTATGGCAGAAGGAAGGTTGGGCAATCTGCTTCCGTAGTGATACTGCCTTGGAAACCCAAGGAGGAGTCGCTATGAGTCGGGTCCAACTCGACAGCACATAACAACAGCAACAACAACAACAACAATCTTTATGGAAGCAGCTTGCCCAGTCTTCCTCCCACGGAGCCACTGGGTGGGTTCAAACCACACCAACCTTTCAGTTAGCAGCTGAGTACTTAACCACTGTGCCACTAGGGCTCTTTCCCAATGGAAGGATACTTACTTGTAATTCAATCATTTCTATATTGATATATAATGAAAAAAAAAAAGACAACCAATAAGGATCTTAAGATACAACATCAACAACAAAAATGTGTTTGGAGACAGCACCATAGTGGAGAAGGGATGTGTGGGAATAGGTGCTAAGAACCAATGCTATAGGTAGGAATAGACCAAGAGATGACAGAGATGGATGAGGAAAGAGGGACGAGCCTGTGAGCTTTATGTGAAGGTCATGGTAGGGACTTGTCATCTCTGCTCCTTTGAGTTCAGAGGCAGCATTCAGGGAATATATTTGTGATTGAATGGATGACTATTTGATGAATGAGTACATAAAAGGAAGAAGGTGGCTATGAGGGGCATAAGGTGATCCAGAGAAACAACACATAGATAGAGAGACCCAAAGAGAAATGACCGGAAGGACAGACTGCCAGAGAATTAGGAAGGACAGAGGAAGAAAGGGAAGCAAAGAGTTCAGTGTGGGGAGAGAGAGGGAGACTAAAACATTGAAGACAACATGGGCAGTAGGACAAGAGCCCAGGGTCAGGAGTGTAAGGTGAGGGAGGAGGGTGAAGGCTGTAGAGCTCAGCTGGGAGGTGCTGTGGGCCTCACCTGCTCCTTGGTTCGACCCTCACGCTCCCGGATGTGTGTGGTCACAATGCGCTCCATCTCCTCACGCAGCCGTGGGTATTGCTGGAGCTGGGGGAGGACGGGAAGGGAGAGAGCCAGTACACAGGGGGCAGGGGCAGAGAGCACCCAAACCCTGCCCGGGTCCAGGGCTCCAGTGGGTGTGAGGTGGGAGCACGGACAGAACACCCGTGAGGAGAGAGAGAGACCTGGATCCCAGGAGGCTGATGGCACCAAGCCATGGCCACTCCTTCCCTCTGCAAGTTAGGTTCCAAATGGCAATGCAAGGGTCTTCCTAGTTCCACACCCTCTTCACTAGCCCACCTTGGCAACTTCATGGGGAAGGGGCAGTTCCCATGGGGAGAAATGCCATGGGAACCAGCCTGCTTCTTGGCCACCATCTTGATGACAGCCATCTTAGAAACAGATATTACTGAGGCCTTTGTGGGGGGAACTGTTAGCTTCCAAGGCTTTCACTGGCCCTCAGGGCTACCCCATGCCTTACTAAAGACTTGGAGGGCATAGTCAGCTGGGGGAATCAGTCAGAGAACAGTCTCTAGATTCCAATCCAGGAGGAATGGGGGAGGGCAGGGCTCAAGGTGCTAGTTGGCCTCCTGAGTCAGGCTGAAGACAGGTAATGCTCCTTGTCAGAGCCAGGGGGGAGGCAGAGGGAAACTACCACTCACACGACAACATGCAGCAGCCACAGGCACGGGCATGCGAGGCATGGGGGTGGGGTGGCATGCAGAGGTGGCGCCAGCAGCATGAGCAGTACCCCGCGGGGCCTGGGTGGACCCTGGGCCCTCTTGGTGGAGCCCACCTGGTTCTGCCTCCTTCTGCATGCCCCTGCCTGACATAATCACCCCCAGCCATATCTGCCTCCAATTTCGAGCTGCCCATCCAAAGTTGTCTGTCTATCCCACTCCTTTGGGGTAGGAGCTCAGCATCCCCCTCCCCCCCACGTTCTCATGAACTGCGGCTGAAGAAGTTGGTTCAAATCCTCTCTGCCTGTGACCCCTGCCCTCAACTCAGCTGAGCTCTGGACAAAGCTCAGGTTGGTCTCCCTCAAGACTCCGCTGGACACCACCTCCTCCAGAAAACCTGCCCTGCTGCCTTGAGACGCCCCCTCCTTCACTCATCAGACTGGGTCCTAATTGCCTGATGACTTGTCTGCTGCTCCCAGAGGTGGGGGCAGGGCTGGGCACACTGCCAGTGTTCACCAAGGGTATGTTGAAGGAATGAGGGAATGAATGATGGATGGATGTCTTGGCCCTCCTTGCCAGGGTGAGAGGGTGTAGGCTCCTCTGCCTTCTGGCTCATGAACCAGCGCTCCTTAGGACTCACTGAGCTTCACGATGGCGGGAGCCAACCCACAGGGCCTGCCATCACTGCTGGCCCTCCCTCCTCACTAGGTGGCCATGTGGGACCCAGGCAAAGCTAGAACCTCTCCTCACTCCTTACCCCATGGCTGGGTCAGGCCCCTCAGCTGGGTCCCCCTATATGGGAAGAGAGCTGGGGGTTGGTGTACTGGGGTCACAGGCACAGGTGGTGATTCTGAGGGCAAGATGGAAGCCAAGGAGATGGGTGGGGAATCGGAGCAGGGTGAAGGAAGCACCACCCTGGATGCCAGCCCAGGAGAGGCAGATGGTGAGAGATGTCCACATCCAGCCCATCCTGTGGCTATGCCAAGGGGCAGCCAAGCGCAGGGGACCTGGGAGAGGGGCAGCCTGAGACCACTGGGTTAAAAACACCAGCTGGGAGCGCTCAGTGAACCCCACTGCTCCCACTCCTTCTTGCAGTCCTGTGGGGGAAGCAAGGAGTCTCCAAGTCTGGGCAGAGTCTTGGGACTGACTTATGGACACAGGAAGGCTCTTCTGAGGTGGTCTCAAGCACAACCCCCCTCCCCAGGGGGAGGAGGGAACAAGAAAGGAAGGGAGAGTGGAGGGGGAGGGAGCAACTCGCCAAAGAGCATAACCACTTCTCCCACTAACCGCCTGGATGTTCCATTTCTCAAGTTTTCCGCGAGTCACATATTCACACATGACAGGGCAGCTTTGGCCCCTTTGAGAAGTTCTGTTCCCTTTGAGCATCTTTTTCCATTCTGGCTGCCTCTGAGCATTTCCAGGACTTTTAGCCAGTTTTTTAAATGGAACTTTTCTCTCTCAATCCTTGGCGGAGAGGAGAGGGAGGTTGAGCCCAGGACAGACAGCCTGAAGCCCACCCTTTAGAGGCAGGAGAGTGGCCAGGGGTACAGGCCTTGGAGCCACAGAGCCCTGGGTTTAAGGCCAGCCTTGGCCCTGCTGACTCTCCTTAGAAAAGCGACGGAACCTCTCCTCTCAGAGTCTCCGTTTCTCCATGTATAAAATGGAGGAGTAATTGCATCTTGCCCCTTAGAGTTGTGGAGTATGGAGCAGCACATCCCATGCTCCCTGGTAAACTCTACATTCCATCCAGAGATGGAAAATCCAATCCCAGTAAGGCTGGGAGTAATTAGAATGGAAAATTTATCAAATCTCTGGAGGGGGTGGCTTGCTGAGCTTAGAAAATTTGTGAAGGGGAAAAACAAAACAAAAGAAAGACGAAGATGGATGAATTTTGCCATATAAAGAATAAATAATCAAGTCCAATAAGCAAATCGAAAGGCAGAAACACTATTTTCTTCCTTTGAGACCAAAGCTATCTGTCTTAGTTGATCGAGTTTTCTGCTCACAAAAATCACACAGACCCACTGAAAAGATTCAAACAACTAAAATTTGTGAAGAAGAGATGGAAAGATCCCCATGTTCTTTGGTTTTCCTCAGAATAACTGTTAGCAATTTGGTGAATATGCCTTCTTATCAGTCAAATATATTATTTATCCCCAAAAAATATTATATATTTCTGAAACGTGCTCCCCCTCCACACACATAGTATGCAGTGGGGGGACAGGTAAGTAGAAATAACTGCCTTGCTCTTTTCCTGGTTGTAGTCTTTCACTGCCTGTGTGATACTTTATATAATCAACACCCTGTTGATGGACATCTGGTTTGTTTCCAAAATTTTACCACTTAGAAAACGAAAAGAATTACTGCTTTCCTTCTGGAATGCAACTCAGCAAACATCCAACAGTTTTTCAACATTTATATCTAGTAATTACTCTTTTAGGTATCTACCCTAAAGAAATAATCCTAAATAAGGAAAAATAAAACTCTTTATACATAAAGATGTTCACTCTTAGGTTATTTATAACACTGCAAAATTAGAGATCATCTAAATGTCTCCCAATAGGAAAACAGTTAAGTCCTGTCCAGTTGCAGTGGAGTCATTTCCAACTGCTAGTGACCCTAAGGGACAAAACAGAATTGTCCATAAGGTTCCCAAAGCTGTAATCTATATGGAAATAGACAGCCACATCTATCTCTTGCAAAATGGCCGGTGAGTTTCGAACTGCTGACTTTTTGGTTAGCAGTTGAGTGCTTAACCACTGTGCCACCAGGGCTACTTAACATTTTAGTTAATGGTGGTAAATCCATTCAATAGAATCATTAAAAATGGTTATGTAGACTATGCAATAATCCAAAAAAAGAAAAAAAAAAAAAGGCATGTTATTAAGAGAAAAAGAAAGATGTTAACATATTCACAAACCAAACAAATCTACATGTAGGGAAGAAAAAAAAAAAGATTTGAAGGAGTATACATTGGTGAGAACTTTTTGAAGGGCAATCTTGTAGAAGTTACCAAAACTGTGAATGCTTATATCTATTGACCAGGCAATCAACACCTAGATATTTATCCTAAAGAAACAACAGGGTAAGTACTAAAAATATATCTCTAAGGATGTTCACTGCAGCATTGTTTATAAAAGAAAAAAAAAAAGGAAAACACCTTAAATGTCAGTAGGATATTGAGTACATAAATCACAGCACATCTCTCCAGTGGAATACAATTCCGCAGTCAAAGGACACAAGGTGCCTTCTTATGCAGCGGCACAGAAAGATTCCACACACTGTCAGGAGAAAAGGAGGAATTCCTGGAGCAGTGTGCGCTGCACGAGCTCATGTGGGTTAAAGGGCTGTGCATCTGTAACCTGCTGAGGAGGATGTGCTGCTGTCGGCCCTCGTGTCCAGTTGGTGGGATTATGAGGACTTCCACTTTCTTTGCACTGTTTGAATATTTTCATTAACAATCATGTATGATCAGAACAAAATCAATATTAATCATTTCATTTTTTAAGAAAAGGGGGAGTATACTTGAAGGAAATGTACACAAATCTCAATAGTGGCCTCTGGAAGGAGCAGGTTGTTTCCCACTTTTTACTCCTGGGCATTTTCTATACGGAAATGTTATTACTTTTAAAATTAAGAAACAATCAGTATTTTTTTTTTTCAAATTCAATTATATCTTGTCTTCCTTCGTAAAGGGGTTTGAGGCAGCTCAAAATAAACTCTCTACTTTACAGTTTAACACAAGTAAGATGATGTCATTTAACATTCATGATCCACTATGACTACGATTTAGATATCCTGATAAATACTAGGTAATGAGGAAAATTCTCACTGCTGTCGAGTTGGACCCAACTCATAGCGACCCCTCCTTGGGTTTCTGAGGCGGTATCTCTATGGAAGTAGATTGCCCAATCTTCCTTCCAAGGAGTGGTTGGTGGATTTGAACCGCCAGCCTTCTGGTTAGCAGACAGATGCCTTAGGCACTGCGCCACCAGAGCTCTCAGGTAATAAGGAGTCCACCTTAAGTTGTATTTGAGTGTCTTGGAACAGGCACTGAGTGGATGCTAATCTATCCCCATTAGACACAAAGGTGGGCAAAAGGGAGACAGGATCATGAAAGGGGTTGACACGACTAATTGTGTATGAGCCACAAAAACGATGGTATTTATTTAAAACATGATGTTAAGGCAGATGTCTCCTCAACTCTACTCCCCCCCCCCCCGCCAGCATGGGTGGGGTGGAGCCTCCCCGGGAGGTTCTGATTCAGCCTGCTGGGCGGGGAAGAACCGCTTCAGACAACTTGGGTCAAAGTCCTCAGAATGTCCAAAAGAACACACAGGAGAAAGGCATCCAAAAAGGTCACAACAACTCAAAAGAGGCTGACCCTGCCTAACAGACATGGATTACTATAAAGTGAATACCTCCAATATGCTTTTAGGCAAATTGATTTTGAGGGACCAGAATAGCCCCTCCATCTCAAGAGCCCCCAACCCCAGACCCCTTCTCTTGGCCTCCACAAATCCAAATGCCTCTCTGCTGGTACTTTCTAGCAATGGGATCCTGGGTCTATTACTTTTCCTCTCTGAGGCTCAGTTTTTTCATGTGTAAAATGGGGGTGACAATACTGCCCACTCCTTAGGGTTGCTGAAAGGATTAAGTCAGATAACAAGGGCAAGCACTTAGCCTGATGTGTGGCACATAGTAGGTGCTCAGTAAACAGCTTCCATCTCTTTATTATCATCATTGATGTTGGCATTCTTATTGGTGGAAATGAAAGGATGCTTGGGTCAGCAGGGATGGGGGCCTGAAGAGTTGTGAGTGCAGACAAACCCAGAGCTAGCTGGAAGTTGGATGACACGTGAGAGCCAGGGATCACCTAGCCAGTGTGGTTGTCTGGGTCCACAGTTGGTGGCCAAAGGACTACTAGGCCTGCTTGGCAGATGGTTCTGCCCACAGGAAGCTGTGGCCAAGATAAAAGGACCTCTAGGCCCAGCCCAGCCCAGGCCGCCATCATACCTTTTCGCTACACTTTCTGATGGTGGCTGTGAGCTCACTGACTACCATATCCACACACTTGATACTGGGCTCTTTGAGCTTCTGCACCTGCTTTTTCACTGTGGCTTCAAAAGCGAGGTCAGGTGTGAAGAGGCCCGTCCTGCACCCAGGGAGGAGGAGGGGGCAGGAAGAGGAGCAGCCAGCAGGCAGGGAGAAGAAAGGGAGTGAAAGCCAAGCGGGGTCAGGGGTCAGGGAGGATAGCATGGAGCATAGGGAAGAGAGAGAGACACCGACACAGAGAAAGAGAGAGAGAAAACAGAAGACAATGTGAGCATGGGACTAGGCCCTCCCTACCACCACCCAGGATTGGCACCTCCCAGGTGCAGCCAAGCACCCTTCAGGGTTCTGTGGGTACAGTCAGAGGGTCCGTGGAGCCAAGCCCCCTGCTCCATACAGGGCGTCTTAGCGAACACAGATCTTCTCCCCAGGGTCCCAGCCCACCACCCCCACTTCCACTCCTCAGCTACGCTAGGCCTGCCTTCTCTTTTTCAATGCCATCTTTGTCCCCAGCTTTGGGTCCTCCTAAAGGGCTGACCCAAGACCAGGACAAAGCCAAGATCCCACTCACCAATCCTGCTCAATTCTAGATTTCCCAGTGCTCCCTGCATTCACTTCATCCTAACTGCAAAGCCTCCAACACCATCCCTTACATCCACCAGGGTTGCTCTGTCCAGTTGCCTAGGCTGTGCACTGCACACTTCCAGGAGGTTCCATTCACATAGACTATAGTGTAGATGATGCCTCCTGGAGTCGCAGCATGGTAGCATAACTTCCACCTTCCAGCTCTCTTACTCTACTAGTGCCCACATCTTTCTCCTTAAGGGACATCCCTTGCCTCTCCTCCAAAGGGGCCTGGAGGAACTCAGCTCAGAAAGACAGAAAGAGAGAGAAGAAGAAAGACAGAAAGAGTGGAGGTGGTGATAGAGAGGGGCCAGGACAGCAGTGGGGAGGGGAGAGGAAGAGAGGCTGTGGAGTGGAATCAAAGGAGCACTGGGCTTGGAGTGCAAAGCTCTGGCTTCGAGAAACAAGCTCGGCCACTTCCTAGCTACATGGCCTTGGGAAAGTCATATGATCTGTGCATCAGTGTTCCTGCTGTGAACTGGGCATCACCCTCCCTGCCCTGCCCTCCTTTTGTGGTTCTGTGAGGTTCAGATGAGGTAGCCGATGGGAGAGTTCTGTCCCTGGAAGGCCAGATGTGGATGGAAGGGAAGGGGACAGTCTTGACTGAGGGTCCTGAGTGGGGGTGGAGTGAGGATGGGGAAAATGAAGGGCAGTGGGAAGTCAGGGCACTTGCTAGACCTGGGTCCTTTGCACACCTCTGGCTGCCCAGGCCCCAGAGTATTCCCAAGAAGTCCCTGTATCTTACCTGTCTCCAGGGCCAAGGTCTCTCTAAGACTTGTCCCTGGAGTCCCCAAAGGTGACATCACCTCTAAGGGCAGGAAGGGGTTTTAGGGTCCCCTCAAACCTCTTCTCCCTGAGCTGGGGGAGCTCAGAGTAAACAGCCAGCCATCACACCTGTCTTACCAATATCTAATCTCTTGGTCTTCTGGGCCTGGAAGCCTGGGAGATGGGTGAGGCCCCCTCAGAGGGTCCTCTTCTCCTGGTCCATGGCAGGCTGCCTCCCCCACCCCGCTGAGGTCTGTACATGCTACTGAGGAGGCAGTGGGGGACACGGGGAAGGGGCGCCTGGCAGCAGTGCAGGGTGGGGGCGTAGGCGGGGACTGGCCCAGGCCGCTGGGTTACCTTCTTGGTGCACTGTCTAACGGTGCTGATTAGCTCCGAGATAACCATGTCCACACACTTGAGACACGGTTCTCGGATCTTCTTCACCTGCTTTTTCACAATGGTCTCAAAGGCCATGTCTGGGGTGAACAGCCCCGTTCTGAATGCCCGGAGTGGGAGAAGGGCACAGTGTCACAGGCTGGCTCCTGCAGTAGTGCCAGGCCAGGGCCCCTCCCTGAGCCCCTAAGCTCCACCCACAGAGTCTTCCCACTATCCCTCTCTGGGCCTCAGTGTTCCCATCTGTAAAATGGGTGGGAGATATTATAATGAGGGGCTTTCAGGCTATGCTCTTTGGGACTAGAAAGGTTCTGCTTGTCTCCGTTTTATATGGTGTGTTTTCCCTAGGATTCTATTCATATAAAGCATTCTATGGCAGAAATTGTTTGAAAATTGCCAGACTGGTTCTCCTTAACGCCTTTCCAGGAATAGAGCATTTTATTTTAAGACCAGGAGAGAGACTGTTTCCTGTGTTTTGGCCAATGCAGATGCCAAACCTTGGAATGGAACGTGCATGAAAGCAAGGACAGGACATTGGTCTTGTTTACTGCCTGGCACATAGCAGATACTTTAAAATTTTTTGTTGAATGAATGCAGTGCAAATCTGAAAGGGGTCTAAGCTTTTAAGGAACAGAGTCTACTTCCCAATCCCCCTTCCTGATCCACAGATGTTGGAGTTGTTTGGAAGGAGGAAAGTGGGATGGGATGGGATCAACTTCAGGCTAATGACATACGGGAGAGTCTGGAGAGTTGAGTGGACTCTTCCTTTGGTGACATCACAAAGGAACATGGACCAATAGACACACGCTCTGCCCCAGGTCCCACCCAGTGGTTTCGGTAGCTTTGCTCTCCCACCTGAGTGGGACTGGGGACAGCTTTCACCCTGGGGGGATGGGCAGGAAGCTCAGCCCCAGTGTGTCTCTCTCCTGCACCCGTGCTCTGGGCTCTGTCCAACTGGTTCAGCCTCTAGGCCCTGCTCCCAGGACAGAGAGGGGGGGCAACATTCTGCACGAAGAGAGGTGACCCAAGCCTCCCATCCACCATTCTCATCTGGGGCCTGTCAAGATGGGAGCCAGAAAGTCAGGACTGAGGGGATTGCGGACCAGACTTCTAGGGTCCTTGTGAGGACAGCCTGCTTCATCAATCCCTGTGACTCTGAGCTAGACTCCTTTGCCTTCTAGGATTCAACCCCCTTCCCAGTCCCAATACATGCCTAATGCCATGGATATTCTTGATGGCATAGCTGATCTCCCTTCGGAGTTCCTTCTCATCAAACTCCATCTGTGTAGGAGAGAAGAAAGACAGATAGCTGGTCAAAGCCTCTCACCAATACTTGGGACGTCATGACAGGACCTGGGTCCCAGGACTGGGCAGCAGGGCTTCTAATGGGGTCTACAAAGGAGAGACAGAGAGACTGACTCTCTTCTGCTGGGGAGGATCCTAAGTCCTCCTGCCCCTGGGGCTGCTGGGAGTCAGGGGCATGCCCTACCTTGACCAGCTCAAAGGGGAAGCGCTCGTGGAAGATCCGGTTGATGCGGGCTCCCCCTGACAGTTCATAGGTGTCAATCTGGTCTCCTGAGCCCTCGATTCGCTTCTCAAAGTCCACAGCAAACTGCTGGACCATCCTGTGGAGAGAGTGATGTGGCCTGAGGGGGCAGAAGCAGTCCATGGAGGGAGCCTTGGGAAAGCCCCATGCTGAGAACGGTGCCGAGATGTGTGTGTGTGTGTGTGTGTGTGTGTGTATCTCAGTGATAGGAAGATGGGCTGGGAAGGGCCTCACTGCAGCAGTGCCTTGGTCTTGCGTGCTGGGTCATCAGGGCGGAAGTTCTTGTATTCATCCACCTCCTTCTCGATGGACAGCAGCTGGCTCTGTAGCTTGTTCCGCAGACCTGGCAGCGTGTCCCGGATGTGGTTTGTCAGTTGCTGGGAGTAGGGGCAAGGAAAAGGTTAAGGCCTGGGTCACAAACCCAGATGCACACAGGGCCAAGCAAGGACAGGGATACCAGGGGCCTGGTGGTGATACCTCACCACTTCCATGTGGATGTGGTGAGGTGGAGAGCTATAGGGGGAAGCTGCAACCTTCCTGCCCACTGCTGCCCTGCCCACTAGAACAAAAGCTGCCTGAGGACAGGACCTGGCACACAGTAGGTGCTCAGCAAAGGATATTAATTGAAAAAATTTTTAAACAAAGGATGTTAATTGAATTAAAGACTGAATAAGTTAATTTTCAACAAAGGCCAGAAATCTGCATTTTTATGTGAAATTACCTGATTTTTTTTTTAACCTAATTTTATCTTTTTAGACATTATGAGGGCCAAAGCAAAGGCATCTGTGGAGGGATGGTTGGAGAGCAACTCTCCTGCACCCCGAATTAAGGTCTCCTTTAAGGCAATTCTCAAAGGAGCTCTGGTAGCACAGTGCTAAGGCATCTGACTGCTAACCAGAAGGTTGGTGGTTCAAACCTACCAGCCACTCCACGGAAGCAAGACTGGGCAACCTACTTCCATAACGATTTACCGCCTTGGAAATCTATTGGGACTCACTATGAGTCGGAATTGACTCGATGGCAGTGGGTTTGGGTTTTTGTTTGGTTTCAAGGTAATTCTCAAGTTTGGTGCTTACTCTGCCTAGGTCCTCACACACAGCATCTCTGAATCTTCACAATGAACCCACGAAACAAGTGCTGTTATTTTCACCATTCACAAGTGCAGAAATAGAGACTGGAGAGAGTGTCTTAGTGGCGAGTGACAAAGCTGGAAGCCCTATTCCAGACAAAGAAACATCCCAGGGAAACCCCTGGGATTGCCCTTCCCAGCCTCTGGATCACGCTCTCCTCAGTTCAGAGGGGAACAAGGCCTTCAGCTGAGAACACTTCAGTCCTGGTCCCCAAAACCAAACCCTTGGCAGGGCTACCCTACACAGAAGGTCTTGGTCTTCCCCATATCTGGGGGTGTGTCTTCCAGTGCTCCCATCCCAGGTCACAGTCGGGAAAGGTCAGCAAAGCTCCGACTCTGGGAATAGGGCAAGTTGCTTTGCTTTCCTGGGTCTCAGTTTGTCCATCTGCATAATGGGAATGTTAATCAACTTCTGCTGGCTGCCCTCACAAACACACTCAAATTATTCTGTTCTCCTGCTGGTTCCCCCAGGCCCCACCCACCTGGCCTGGACACCTACCTGGTTAAGGACCTTCTGCAGGTAGGGTGTGCCCATGCGGTCAGCTAAGTGGCGGTAGGATGGGTGGGACAGGAAGAACTTGCGCTCAGCAGCCAAGGCGGCTGTGATGTCCTTCTTGCCATCGATGTCCTTCTGGCTCCGGTTCACCACCCCAATGTAGCCTGTGGACCAGGTTGAGATCAGGGGCAACCAGCCTCCCCAAGAGGGTAGTGGATAGTGGAGTGAGTCAGATGGGGACCTGCCTACCTCTGCGCAGAGGAAGCAGCTTATTCTCCAGCACGTCACGGGCATCTGTGCCCTCATCCATCAGGTCCAGCTTGGTGATGACCCCAATGGTGCGCTGACCTGGGGGAAGTCAGGAGGAGGGTTAGCCACACCTGTGCCTGCTCTCACACCTTGGACTCCATACACCCCGTTCCAATTCCACTTCTACCGCCCCTACTCACCCTCTCCCCCTCCCTGCCC